GGCGATGTACCGATCCACTGATATTAAAGACAAGTGAACAATGGAAGACAAGCAAAATAAGAAGCTGGACAATTTTGAGGCAATTTGTATTGAACATGCACTGGCTGTGGTTTCTCCTTGTATGATATTCCATATCTGAGCAATAAAAAGAGGCTGGACAACTAATCCGACCATCACGTCAGTCAAGGCTAAGCAAGCCAATGCCATGTTGGACATGCTCTGCATGCGTGCTTTGGTCTTTACAGCGATCATCACCAACAGATTCAACACAACGGTAAAAGGGCAAGTCGTGGCGTGGATTACGATCAAGGCGATGAGAATAGCATAGGATAAATCGGACAAATGATCTGGCTTACCACCAATGAAACTGTAGACCACACAGTTTCCGGGGAACTCGTTTTGAATCTGGTGACTCGAGTTCATATTTTCGGCCGGGCTTCTGCTCCGTCTTGGACGTATTAATTCGAGGAAATGTCGTCTTATTCTGACTGATTTAAGTTTTTTTTGTAGTCAAATTTTGACATTTCCAAGAGTCATTCTTGTGAATAAAATTTAATCTTGCATATGCTCAAAAACATTTTTAATACATGTATAACAATATTATTTTTTGTTCGGGTCTCTTTTTGCATCACAAGTAAAGTAGAGATTAAAGAGAGAAAAAAGAATTCATTTTCCTCTAGTCGGTAAAAAAAGCGAAAAAGGATATTTTGCCTTTTTTAATATCTAGACCGATATATTTCAACTGAAAGGTTTAGAAAACGGCTAGCTGATTGAGGTACTGATTAGCACTTGTTCATGGGAGATAATTAACAAACTGAATTATTAACATGAGACAAACGTATTATTTTCTTATGATTTTTCAGTAACTGTGTTTCTATCATAGTCTTGTTTGCTACTCGAAAGAAAACGTTTCGAGTATTTGAATTCCCTCTAAGAAGAAAAACTTTAGAGTGAACAAGTAACGAGGAAAAGTTTTCGGTACTAGTAACAGCTTTATGTTGTTCCATGTGAGAGTGTTTACGAAACAAGTATACCCCCAAGCTCTCTCGTCACAATCGTTGCTTATAATAGCTTGTATGGAACGAATACAACAGTATGACTAAAAAACAACTTACTGGAAATTTCCTTAAACCGAAAAAAAGCAAAGATCGCACATAAAAAAATGAAACGTAGAGGCAAGGAGAGCTGGATGTTTGTGAAATTTATCCCTAACTTTATGATCGCTAAAATTTGGTTTGCGATAGATTTTCACTCAAGACCAGTTTGGGGTTACTTTGTGTACAGGTTTCATTCAATGTGCGAATAGTAAAATAAATCCTTAAAATGAACCCGTTCGAACTCATTTTCTTTGTAGGCAATGACTAGTAGGGGACAGATATATCAAAATACTTCAAGGTGACTTCTGTATGAGGGGAAGTACGTTGAAGGTACTAAAAAGTACTAAAAAGAAATATGTTTGAAGGTTGAAGTCAGAAAAAAGCAGTTTTGTCTTACATATCGCGTATGACCAAACAAAAAATAAACACCAAACTTATTAATGCTTAAAGAGTGAGCGGAAAATTTAAATGAAGAAATAATTTATTTAAGCTGAAAATCCCTTTAAAGAGACGAATGTCATTTTCCCAAAACCCACAACCTGAAGACAAAAACCTTCTGGGAAATGATCGGTCAGAACAGGTGCTCTGAAATTTTGGGATAATATTGTGTTAGTACATTTATTATCTTTAAATTCAGTGGTTATTTCCCATAGCAGTATAGCCGTACAATGAAACTGTTTTTGCGACTGATAAGTGAAGTTCTTTATTTTTTTTAAAAAAACGCCGTAAATCATTGTTGGATAAACAAGTTACACATAAGGAACATTACATGACGTTAATCTTTGACCCTTTAGTAGCTTGTTGACTCGCAGATACAGATAATTTTGACCTCTTTGAAATTTCAAAACAAAGAAGAGCAAAGCAAACATTTAAAGAGATGGTCCGAACTCGTAATTTTTCCGTCACGTGATTCCTAAGGGGAGGTAGGGTGTGACAAACATTATTCAAACCGTCCCCAACAAAAATGTGGCAATAAGAGCAAAAAATTGAGTGAAGTAAAAAAAAAATGTTTTCTTTGCGAAGCGTCCAAGAGAAGCGTACGTTATTACGCGGACGAAAGTAGAAAAGGAAATCAACTTTCACGATACGGTTTTCATTCCGGAGTTTTTCGTTCCTGTGTTTAGAAGCGGAATATTTTTTAATAAGCTGGAGAATAGTAAAATAAGTCCTCAAAATAAACCCATTCGAATTCAGTTTCTTTCAATGCACTGACTAGAAAGGGACAGATATATCAAAATACTTAGAAGCGACTTCTCTAGAAGAGATTTAAGTTAAAAGTACCATAAATTTGAATTTATTTTGACGTCTGAAAAACGTAGTTCTGTATCTTTACACAAATATTTCATATGTATCGCGCACGATATAACAAAAATAGACATGACACTCATTAATGCATAAAGTTGGAGAAATTAAAACCAAGAAACAATTCAGTTAAGCAGTAAATTCCTTTAAAAAGGCGAACGTCATTTGAAAACGAAAACCTTTTGGGAATTGATCGACCAGAACAGGTGCTATTTCAGCATAGCAAAACCAGCTTGTTTCAAAACAAAATTTGGGTATAATATATTGTTGCAGATATTTACTTTGCCTTTTAATTTAATCGCTACTTTAGGATAGTATCTATAGGCAAACGAAAAAAAAGAAGTAAAACCGTTTTTGCGATTATTTTTGCATATGTTTTAAATGGTGAAGATAATTTTGCAATAAAAGAACAAAAGAGGTATTGGGTCAGTTGAAATATGTTTTAATTGCAAAGCCACTCCTAAATGAGCCGCATGTCAAATGGATATTGCTAAAACGAGGAATGGGAAATGGGGAATGGGAAATTAAAAAATGTGAAATCGAGGGCAGTGTTCAGCTCTCCGATTCAGTTGTTGTTTAAAACGACGCAATGGTCAATGGCGTAATAAGTTTGAATTATTATTTTCCTTTTTTTTCAAGCGCCTGCCTTTTGAAAGTTGAATGATTAGAAAAAAATACTTTATGGTATTTTTAGGCTGTCGTCCAGACTCATCGATAATTGCAGGGAAGCGATTCCCCGATTCCTTATAATTAGAACTATACCCATGAATAAAAGCTGTTTGCATTTCTGATAGTTGTATTGATAGAAAACATGTTATGCCTATTCTTAAATGTATTAAAAAACCGTAAAAAAAAAACCGTATAAAAGGGATCCAAAAATCGTCCAAATATATCAACAATTTTAAAGGAGATTCCGCTCGGCCACCCATCCAAGTATTTTCTGCGCCCGACAGCACTTAACTTTGAAGAACGGAGACGTCTGCAGTCACAGGAGAAGCAAAAAAACCGCTCAAACTGCTACGATACAGCATGATTCAGCGGTACTGAACGTGTACTGAAATTAAAACGAACATAGTTAAGAACTCCCCGATCAGAAAACGTATCGTAACTCAGTACAAGTGTCAGCTGGGTCACGATACGTCTTTCTGTTTTACTTCACGTTGTAAGACTAAATTTCAGAAAAAAAGGAAGGTAAAATTGTCATGAATTGATCCATTTATTTTTTTTCACATTACAGACCAGCTACAGCTACATAAATATCATGCGAGCACAATAAAACGAAGACCTCTTTCAGCTACTTTTTAATCACAGGGAATACTAGAAACGTATAAACTAGGTAACATCATGCAAGATATTTATATATTTTTATTATCTATATTAACAGCGAAAATCTCGCTGTTGCTGTCACTCGACAAAAATTTTTATTTCTTCATGACATATTTTTTGTACAAATTGTTAAGTGTCAATTGGTACGTTGATTTTGTCGGCGTCTCTAATGACATTGGCCTGGTTGGCACGATGTTCCTTTCTCTCCCCATCTACTGATAATTAGACTTCTCCCATAAAATTGGCCTGGTTGGTGAGCTGTTCCTCTCTCTTGAAACCAAAAGATATCTTGACGTCTTTGACGACATTGGCGTGGTTGGTGTGTTGTTCCTCTCTCTCCTCGCCTTGGGATTTTTCGAAGTATCTGATGACATTAGCCTGGTTTGCATGCTGTTCCCCTCTCTCTCCACCCAGGGGTATTTTGACGCCTCTGATGGCATTGGCCTGGTTAGTATTCTGTTCGCTTCTCTCTCCCCTCAGGTTTGATTCAAAATTAGCAACTATTGTTCCCAATATCTTTCTTTAAAATTCGTCAGCTTCATTGTGGTTTTTCCTTGTCAGTAATTCAATGAATGCGACCCGAAACTGTCTTAACCTTATACAATAAATAAACGGATTAACAAGAGAGTTAAAGGCCCCTACACTACCAACAACCATAAAAATGGAAGTCAACGTACCCAAGCTTACGACGTTTTTCAGGGGCTCCTTAAGCCTTAGGAAAATAGTTCCAGGAAAATAACTTATAACTGTTAGCGTAATAATCATTAATGTTAATTTAAAAGCTCGCTTGTGAGATAAAAAGTTTTCTTTGGTCGCTATAAAGTCGATTTGCTGGGCTGCTATTTGCTTCTCTTGTCGATGAGCCTCACGATAAACTATCATGCATGTTGCAGAAAACAACAACTGAAATAAGTGAAAATACGACAGCAGTGAAAATAGCCCTTACCATTTCCACGTCAATGAGCAACAAGGTGTTTATAATTAAAGTCAGGGTCCATGCAAGGGCTGTGGCTATCAGTACACGGGGTTTGGTGACGGTTTGAAGATAAATATAAGGACGCATGATGGCGATGTACCGATCCACTGATATTAAAGACAAGTGAACAATGGAAGACAAGCAAAATAAGAAGATGGACAATTTTGAGGGAATTTGTATTAAACATGCACTGGCTGTGGTTTCCCCTTGTATGATATTCCATATCTGAGCAATAAAAAGAGGCTGGACAACTAATCCGACCATCACGTCAGTCAAGGCTAAGCAAGCCAATGCCATGTTGGACATGCTCTGCAGGCGTGCTTTGGTTTTTACAGCGATCATCACCAACAGATTCAACACAACCGTAAAAGGGCAAGTCGTGGCGTGGATTACGATCAAGGCGATGAGAATAGCATAGGATAAATCGGACAAATGAACTGGCTTACCACCAATGAAACTGTAGAGCACACAGTTCCCGGGGAACTCGTTTTGAATCTGGTGACTCGAGTTCATATTTTCGGCCGGGCTTCTGCTCCGTCTTGGACGTATTAATTCGAGGAAATGTCGTCTTATTCTGACTGATTTAAGTTTTTTTGTAGTCAAATTTTGACATTCTCAAGAGTCATTCTTGTGAACAAAATTTAATCTCGCATATGCTCAAAAACATTTTTAATACATGTATAACAATATTATTTTTTGTTCGGGTCTCTTTTTGCATCACAAGTAAAGTAGAGATTAAAGAGAGAAAAAAGAATTCGTTTTCCTCTAGTCTGTAAAAAAAGCGAAAAAGGATATTTTGCCTTTTTTAATATCTAGAGCGATATATTTCAACTGAAAGGTTTAGAAAACGGCAAGCTGATTGAGGTACTGATTAGCACTTGTTCATGGGAGATAATTAACAAACTGAATTATTAACATGAGACAAACGTATTATTTTCTTATGATTTTTCAGTAACTGTGTTTCTATCATAGTCTTGTTTGCTACTCGAAAGAAAACGTTTCGAGTATTTGAATTCCCTCTAAGAAGAAAAACTTTAGGGTGAACAACTAACGAGGAAAAGTTTTCGATACTAGTAACAGCTTTATGTTGTTCCATGTGAGAGTGTTTACGAAACAAGTATACCCCCAAGCTCTCTCGTCACAATCGTTGCTTATAATAGCTTGTATGGAACGAATACAACAGAATGACTAAAAACAACTTACTGGAAATTTCCTTAAACCGAAAAAAAGCAAAGATCGCACATAAAAAAATGAAACGTAGAGGCAAGGAGAGCTGGATGTTTGTGAAATTTATCCCTAACTTTATGATCGCTAAAATTTCGTTTGCGATAGATTTTCACTGAAGGCCAGTTTGGGGTTACTTTGTTTACAGGTTCCATTCAATGTGCGAATAGTAAAATAAATCCTTAAAATGAACCCGTTCGAACTCATTTTCTTTGTAGGCAATGACTAGTAGGAGACAGATATATCAAAATACTTCAAGGTGACTTCTGTATGAGGGGAAGTACGTTCAAAGTACTAAAAAGTACTAAAAAGAAATATGTTTGAAGGTTGAAGTCAGAAAAAAGCAGTTTTGTCTTACATATCGCGTATGACCAAACAAAAAATAAGCACCAAACTTATTAATGCATAAAGAGTGAGCCGAAAATTTAAACGGAGAAATAATTTATTTAAGCTGGAAATCCCTTTAGAGAGACGAATGTCATTTGCCCAAAACCTACAACCTGAAGACAAAAACCCTCTGGGAAATGACCAGTCAGAACAGGTGCTCTGAAATTTTGGGATAATATTGTGTTGGTACATGTATTATCTTTCAATTCAGTGGTTATTTCCCATAGCAGTATAGCCGTACAATGAAACTCTTTTTTGCGACTGATAATTGAAGTTCTTTATTTTTTTGAAAAACGCCGTTAATCATTGTTGGATAAAACAAGTTACACATGAGGAACATTACATGACGTTAATCTTTGACCCCTTAGTAGCTTGTTAATTCTCAGATACAGATAATTTTGACGTCCTTGAAATTTCTAACAAAGAAGAGCAAAGCAAACATTTAGAGAGATGGTCCGAACTAGTAATTTTTCCGTCACGTGATTCCCAAGGGGAGGTAGGGTGTGACAAACATTATTCAAGCCGTCCCCAACAATAATGTGGCAATAAGAGCAAAAAATTGATTGAAGTAAAAAAAACGTTTTCTTTGCAAAGCGTCCAAGAGAAGCGTACGTCATTACGACGACGAAAGTAGAAAAGGAAATCAACTTTCACGAAACGGTTTTCATTCGGGAGTTTTTTGTTCCTGTGTTTACAAGCGGAATATTTTTTAATAAGCTAGCGAATAGTAAAATAAGTCCTTAAAATAAACCCATTCGAATTTATATTCATTTTCTTTCAATGCAATGACTAGAAAGGGACAGATATATCAAAATACCTAGAAGTGAGTTCTCTAGAAAAGAATTAAGTTAAAAGTACCAGTTATAAAATTGAAATATCTTTTGACGTCTCAAAAAAGTAGTTCTGTATCTTTACACAAATATTTTATATATATCGCGCACGATATAACAAAAATAGACATGACACTCATTAATGCATAAAGATGGAGAAATTAAAACCAATAAACAATTCAGTTAAGCAGCAAATTTCTTTAAAAAGGTGCACGTCATTTAAAAACAAAAACCTTTTGGGAAATGATCAACCAGAACAGGTTCTACTGCAGTATAGCAAACCCAGCTTGTTATAAAACAAAATTTTGGGATAATGTATCGTTGCAGATATTTACTTTGCCGTTTAATTTACTCGCTAAGCTTCGCTACTCTAGGATATTGTCCATAGCGAAACGAAAAAAAAAAGTAAAACGTTTTTGCGATTAGTTTTGCATATGTTTTAAATGGTGAAGATAACTTTGCACTAAAAGAACAAAAGAGGTATTGGGTCAATTGAAAGATGTTTTAATTGCAAAGCCACTCCTAAATGTGCTGCATGTCACATGAATATTGCTAAAACGAGGAATGGGGAATGAGGAATGGGAAATTAAAATATGTGAAATCGAGGGCAGTGTTCAGCTCTCCGATTCAGTTGTTGTTTAAAACGACGCAACGGCCAATGGTGTAAAAAGGTTGCCTATTATTTTGCTTTTTTTTCAAGCGCCGGCCTTTTAAATAGTCCAGCTGTTATCGACCAAAATTGTTCACTTTTATGATAAAAGCATGAAACTTTGCCAGATTACAACCAACCGTAAGACTAACATTTCTTGATATGGAGCCAAGCCAAATTCAACACTGGACAGGAGTACTGCGCAGGCCCTAAAATGGCCTACATGAAAACGAGGCTGTTAGTGGAAATCCTTCTAAAATACCATTTTTGAGTGTTTCTGTAAATAAAAGTCGTAGATATTGTAGAAGAAGACATTTGCTTTACTGTCATGCTTTCTTTGGTGTCACGTGACCCCTCCTTCCAAATATGGCGGGCTATTGTTGGATGTCCTGTGCTGAAGCTGCCTTCTGTGCATTTGTGTGTTTAAAGGGGTGAGAAGGGGCACCTTTTTAGGCAAGTTCAAATGATAACGCTCTTGCAACTATTGTCCAACTATCAACGGCTGTTTTTTACCAAATCATTACAAATCATTACATGAAAACGAGGCAAAAATCTTTTCAGCGGTTTGGAAAGCCTCCAGTTAGCCGTGCGTGCAGTCATCTTGAGTTGGATTCATACACCATTGCCTAAAAGCCTGAATTGATCAAAAATTGTGATCGCACGGCGTTTTTGCAGAGTTTTTTTCTCCACAGACGACAATCGAAAGTCACATGACATAGACTTTTTCCTTAAATATGCCATACTGAAGGAATTGAAGAGCCCCCCTTTCTGATAGTTGTATCCTTAAGATAGTTGTAGATGTCACTGTATCTTAAGAGTAGGTTGCAGTACACCAGTTTTGCCAATGGTGAATCGACACCGTCCCAAAGAAGCAGTTTTTCTTTCATTTAATGAGTTCATAGCCACAGACTGCCACGATATACCCCTTAGCAGGAGCCCATCTGATGGGCTCCTGCCCTTAGTCAAAGTTAAAACCTTTAGACTTGTATGCCTCAGAAGTGTTGTTCCCTACACATATCCCATTCATACACTGCTCGACAGGTATGTTGCATGAGCTCTACTCGAGTTGAGGAAACACTATGAAGGTCACTTTATCTTCTTTTTCACTTCTTGCCTCGTTTTATTGAAGATAATGAGGGCTGAATATACAAACGCAAGTGGAAACCGAAAAAACCAATTGAACTAACTCTTTCCCCAAACGCTTTTGTTTGCACTTAACGCTTGTCAACCGGGAAAAAACAAGTGCAGCCCACGATCTAGCTGTCTATTTGGGGCTATCGTGAAACGTCACGTGCAAACTGCACTCAAAAGGAGAAGCAAGAGGGAGGGGTGTTAATCGAGAGAGCTTGCTCGCAGGCTAACGCAAACGCAAGGTAAAAAATGTCTGTCCGACGTGATGGGATCTACGATAATCAAACGGGCTTGTGTATCTCACTGTGCTTGAATTTGCATTGATTACGTGAAAATCGATTGTCCTTAATTTCTCTATCAAGAAACATATCCCACAAATTTTTCGATCACATTCATTCAGTTGGCAAATGATGTCAGGGATCTCAACACCAATGCAAGCTTAGATCAGGATTCAACGCCCACGTGACACTGACATCATTTTCTTTGGGGTCCATACTTTACATGGATAACTAAAATAACTAGCATCACCTCATTGGTGGAATGGGTTCTGATTTAACTGTTGATGATCACTCAAACTAATGTGAAATGTCTGGACTACGAAGTAATTGTCAGCCTGTTTCAGTTTATGCAGACAAGATGCAAGAGCACAGTTTTAAAGTAGCAATGAATGAGCCACACCCTTCTTTTCAACTCAGTTCTGTTACTGAGCTGCTGTTCATCTGGTACCGGTAAACTGCCTGCTGAGCATTTTGAACAATATGAAGCTCGCGGAGTATGATCTGAAACTAATCTTTGTCATTACACATGGCGCCAAATACCCCAAGCAGCCTGTCTACAGAAATAAGTGGCTCGTGGAAGAGATTAACATGCTGTATATACAGCTGCTATGAGAACGATGATCTTAGGGTTGAGTGGGATAATAAAGCCGCCCAAGTCACAAAACCCCATACGAATCTCTTCCTACCCACTGCAAATCCTTAGCATTTTAAATTTTTCAGCAGTTTCCATTTTCATTGGTTTCTGATTAACTGGTCTGTTGAGGATACACTCGATCCTAACTCCCCGTTGATGTCTGTAGTAGAAAATTCACTTGTGGGTGTAAAGTTAGCGATAGAAACCAGTTCTATTGGTTGGATGTTTGGCTATTTTCCTTTGATTTGGAACTTTTTGTCGCATAAAAGGTCAACTTCTCTGTGGCTGGATAGATGCACAAAACGTTGACATTATCAGCTTTTGTGGTAGAAAAAGATAACATTTTTCTCGGCTTAGATGAGTACACGACCATGGATTTCATTTCTGTACCATTTTAAAATATTATAGTTCTTCCAATATAATTGGTTATGAACCTTTCATATGAGGTACACTTTCCTAAATTGAAAAACATTAACCGAGAAGTCGATAATTGAATTTTAAACTTTCCCTAATTATAAGATAACGAGGGCTCTTTGGACCCAAAGTGTACCGCCTTAGTGTTGCATCACGTCTAGTACAATGACTTGAAATGCTCAAATCATACATGGTAATTTTGTGAAAATTATTCGAAAATTCTCTTTCAATCGAGTGGTATTGTAGTTGCCTACAGCTCGTGTGTCTAAATTGTAATTTATCTGAGAAATTTTTCAAGTACCGCATCTTTTGCTGCTGCTGCTCCTCAACCATGGAATTCATTGCCCTGCGCGATTAGGAGTAGCCCCTCGGTAGCATCTTTTAAAAAGACACTAAGACATTTTTATTTCAGAAAGGTGTGATTTTATGTGCTTTTTAATCTCGTTTTTAGTAGGATTTATGCAGTTTTTACGATTTAAGTAGTCCAGGTAATTTTTATAGTTTTAGTGTTGACAAAATTATTTTAACTCTTTTTGGTAGGTTCATGCACTTTATGCATGTATACTTTATGCAGTCGTGGTAATTTTTTTTTTTTTGAAATATTTTTATTTTTAAGCGCTGGTGAAAATAGCAATATTGATATCGGCGCTATGTAAGTATTTATTATTATTATTATTAAAGATTACCCTTAGAAATATGAGTAAAGTTAAGCTAATTCCTTCATCTATTTCAAGTAGCTCAGTTGTTGTTTAATTATAAGGGATAAGCATGCACTTTAAATATACTCTGCCTTGAGGACATACATGGCAACAACTTTGTTTTTTTGTGTGAAAGCGCTCGACGTATTGTTAGGGAGCTGAGTTTGAAATGCTTGATTTCTTGTCCTTAACGGGGAGAAACATGCCTATTTTTATTACATTCAGATTGATCATATTTTCTATATTTTAATGTGTTAATATAAAATTTAAAGGAATATCAATTTGGTAGCTTTAAATTGCGTATTTCAAAAATGGCCTCCACAAGACTATCCTGTCATCTATTTTTTTAGACATAACAAACAGAAATATGAGGAGGCATGATCGCTTGCTACTGCATGACCTGTTCATTTTTACCTCAAAAACTGGCATTTCATCAAAATTAAGGGGGGAGAGCTATTTGGGCCGGGCCACCTCCTGGACTCAGCTCTGAACCTTGTAATTGACTTTGTTAATAATTGAAAGGAGAATAAAATAGCTTAATGCAGTATCCGAACGTGGAGGCAAGAAACTGGAGGCTAGCTTTTAAGATCATCAAAAGGATTTTTGCCTTGTTTTTGAGCGGCGCTCTACATTTAGATGGAAAACAATACCCAGAGTGCCATACAATCACAATTTTTTCATCAGTTCAAGCTTTTATGCAATGTTATCTGAATCCACCCCCAAATGACCGCACGCAGTGCTAACTGGACGCTTTTCAAACAGTTTAAAAGATTCTTGCCTTGTTTTCATGTGGTAATTGACATTTGTATTAAAACAAATCCAACCCTTGATAGTTGGAAAATAGTTGCAAGAGTGTTATCATTTAAAATTGTGCGACTCATTGCCCATTCTCACCCCTTAAAACGCACAAATGCACAGAAGACAGCTCCAGCACAGGACACCCAACAACGGCTTCGCCATATTTGGAAGAAAGGGTCACGTGACACCAAAGATAACATGACAGCAAAGCAAATGTCTTATTCCACGATATCTACAAGTTTTATTTACCAAAACACTTAAAAACCGGTATTTTAGAAGGATTTCCACTGTCAGCCTCGTTTTCATGTAGGCCATTTTAGGGCCTGCGCAGTACTCGTGTTCAGTGTTGAATTTGGCTTGGCTCCATATCAAGAAATGTTAGTCTTAGGGTTGGTTGTAATCTGGCAAAGTTTCATGCTTTTATCATAAAAGTGAACAATTCGCTATATTTTTGGTCGATAACAGCTGGACTAAAAAGTTGACTGATTAATTTAAAAAATATATACTTTATGGTACTTAAGGCTGTCGTCCAGACTCATCGATGATTGCGGGGAAGCGATTCGCCGATTCCTTATAATTATAACTATACCCATAAATAAAAGCTGTTTGCATTTCTGATAGTTGTATTGATTGAAAACATGTTATGCTTATTCTTAAATGTATTAAAAAACCGTAAAGTTGAGATAAAAGGGATCCAAAAATCGTCAAAATATCAACGCTTGTAAAGGAGATTTCCCTCAGCTACCCATCCAAGTATTTTCTGCGCCCGACAGCGCTTAACTTTGAAGAACGAAGACTCTGCAGTCACAGGAGAAACAAAAAAACCGCTCAAACTGCTATGATGCAGCATGCTTCAGCGGTACTCAGAAAAAGTATTGTAACTCAGTACAAATATCAGCTGGGTCACGATAGCTCTTTCTGTTTTACTTCACGTTGTAAGACTAAATTTCAGAAAAAAAGCGAGAAAAAATTGTCATGAACTGATGCATTTATATTTCACATTACAGACCAAGCTACTGAGTACAAAAATATCATGCGAGAACTATGAAACGAAGACCTCGTTCAGCTACTTTACAACCACAGGGAATATCAGGAACCTTTATAAACTAGGTAACATCATGCAAGATATTATATACTTTGATTTTCTATATTAACAGTGAAAATTTCGCTATTGTTGTGACTTGGGAGAAATTTTGACTTTTTCATGACATATTTTTTCCACAAATCGTTAATTGTCAATTTCTTCGTATAATACCAAACCAGGGATATTAATGCTCTCTTTACGGTCTACTTAGCATGTGTTACTGTCAGTTGTGGCGATAACTGACTTGATACGTTGATTTTGTCGGCGTCTCTAATGACATTGGCCTGGTTGGCACGATGTTCCTCTCTTTCCCCACCTACGGATAATTAGACGTTTCCAATAACATTGGCCTGGTTGGTGAGCTTTTTGGCTCTCTTGCCACCAAAATATGTTTTGATGTCTCTCACGACATTGGCCTGGTTGGTGTGTTGTTACTCTCTCTCCCCGCCTTGGGATGTTTCGAAGTATCTGATGACATTAGCCTGGTTTGGATGCTATTCCCCTCTCTCCCCACCCAGGGATATTTCGACGCCTCTGATGGCATTTGCCAGGTTAGTATTCTGTTCCTCTCTCACTCCCCTCAGGTTTGATTCAAAGTTGATAGCGGCTGGTCCCAATATCATGCTTTTAAATTTGTCAGCTTCATTGTGGTTTTTCTTTATCACTAATTCAATGAATGCGACCCGAAACTGTCTTAACCTTATACAATAAATAAACGGATTAACAAGAGAGTTAAAGGCCGCTAAACTACCAACAACCAGAAAAATGGAAGTCAACGTACCCACGCTTACGACGTTTTTCAGAGGCTCCTTGAGCTCTACAAAACTAATTACAGGAAAATAACTTGTTATTGTCAGAATAATAATCATCAATGTTAATTTGAAAGCTCGCTTTTGAGATAAAAAGTTCTCTCTGCTCGCTACACCGACTTGCTGAGCTGTTATTTCTTTTTCATGACGATGAACCTGAGGGTAAACTATCACGTTGCAGATTGCAATGATTGTAATAAGTGAAACTATGACAGCATGCTTAATATATCTGCCCACTTCCTCGTCAATAAGCAACGCCATGTGTACAATTATAGTCAATGCCAATGAAAGAGCAGTGGCAACCAGTACACGAGCCTTGGTAATGGTTTGAATGTAAGTATAGGGACGCATGATAGCGATGTACCAATCCACTGTTATTAAAAACAGGTGAACAATGGAAGAGAAGCAAAAGAAGTACAAGAAAAATCTTAAGGCAATTTGTATTGAGCATGCACTGGCTGTGGTTTCCCCTTGTATGATATTCCATATGTGAGCAATAAAAAGAGGCTGGACAACTAATCCGACCATCACGTCAGTCAAGGCTAAGCAAGCCAATGCCATGTTGGACATGCTCTGCATGCGTGCTTTGGTCTTCACAGCAATCATCATCAACAGATTCAACACAATGGTAAAAGGGCAAGTCGTAGTGTGGATTACGATCAAGGCGGTGAGAATAGCATAGGATAAATGGGACAAATGATCTGGCTTACCACCAATAAAACTGTAGACCACACAGTTTCCGGGGAACTCGTTTTGAATCTGGTGACTCGAGTTCATATTTTCAGCCGGTCTTCTGCTCCGTCTTGGACGTATTAATTCTAGGAAATGTCGTCTTATTCTGACTGATTTAATTTTTTTTTTGTAGTCAAATTTTGACATTTTCAAGAGTCATTCTTGTGAACAAAATTTAATCTCGCATATGCTCAAAAACATTTTTAATACATGTATAACAATATTATATTTTGTTCGGTCTCTTTTTACATCACAAGTAAAACCGAAAGAGATTAAAGAGAGAAAAAAGAATTCATTTTCCTCTAGTCTGTAAAAAAAGCGGAAAAGGATATTTTGCCTTTTTTAATATCTAGAGCGATATATTTCAACTGAAAGGTTTAGACAGCGGCAAGCTGATTGAAGTACGGATTGGCACTAGTTCATGGGAGATAATTAACAAACTGAATTATTAACATAAGACAAACGTATTATTTTCTTATGATTTTTCAGCAACTGTGTTTCTATCATAGTCTTGTTTGCTACTCGAAAGAAAACGTTTCGAGTATTTGAATCCCCTCTAAGAAGAAAAACTTTAGGGTGAACAAGTAACGAGGAAACGTTTTCGATGTTAGTAACGGCTTTATGTTGTTCGATATGAGAGTGTTTACGAAACAAGGACCCCAAGCTCTCTCGTCACAATCGTTGTTTATAATAGCTTGTATGGAACGAATATAACAGTATGTCTAAAAACAACTTACTGGAAATTTCCTTAAACCGAAAAAAAAGCAAAGACCGCACATAAAAATGAAACGTGGAGACAAGGAGAGCTGGATTTTTGTTTATGCCTAATTTTATGATCGCTAAAATTTTCGTTGACGATAGATTCTCACTCATGACTAGTTTGGGGTTACTTTGTTTACAGGTTTCATTTAATCAGGTTTCATTTAATGTGCGAATAGTAAAATTAATCCTTAAAATAAACCCATTCTAACTCATTTTCTTTGTAGGCAATGACTAGTAGGGGACGGATATATCAAAATACTTCAAGGTGACTTCTGTATGAGGGGAAGTACGTTCACAGTACTAAAAAGTACTAAAAACAAATATGTATGAAGGTTGAAGTCAGAAAAAAGTAGTTTTGTCTCATATATCGCGTATGACCAAACAAAAAATAAACACCAAACTTATTGATGCATTAGTGAGCGGAACATTTAAACGAAGAAATAATTTATTTGAGCTGGAAATCCCTTTAAAGAGACGAATGTCATTTGCCCAAAACCTACAACCAACCTGAAAACAAAAACCTTCTGGGAAATGATCGGTCAGAACAGGTGCTCTGAAATTTTGGGATAATATTGTGTTAGTACATTTATTATCTTTAAATTCAGTGGTTATTTCCCATAGCAGTATAGCCGTACAATGAAACTGTTTTTGCGACTGATAAGTGAAGTTCTTTATTTTTTTTAAAAAACGCCGTAAATCATTGTTGGATAAACAAGTTACACATGAGGAACATTACATGACGTTAATCTTTGACCCTTTAGTAGGTTGTTGACGCGCAAATACAGATAATTTTGACGTCCTTGAAATTTCAAAACAAAGAAGAGCAAAGCAAACATTTAAAGACATGGTCCGAACTCGTAATTTTTCCGACACGTGATTCCTAGGGGAGGTAGGGTGTGACAAACATTATTCAAACCGTCCCCAACAACAATGTGGCAATAACAGCAAAAAATTGAGTGAAGTAAAAAAAAATGTTTTCTTTGCGAAGCGTCCAAGAGAAGCGTACGTTATTACGCGGACGAAAGTAGAAAAGGAAATCAACTCTCACGACACGGTTTTCATTCCGGAGTTTTTCGTTCCTGTGTTTAGAAGCGGAATATTTTTTAATAAGCTAGCGAATAGTAAAATAAGTCCTCAAAATAAACCCATTCGAATTCAGTTTCTTTCAATGCACTGACTAGAAAGGGACAGATATAACAAAATACTTAGAAGTGACTTCTCTAGAAGAGAATTAAGTTAAAAGTACCATAAATTTGAATTTGTTTTGACGTCTGAAAAACGTAGTTCTGTATCTTTACACAAATATTTCATATGTATCGCGCACGATATAACAAAAATAGACATGACACTCATTAATGCATTAAGTTGGAGAAATTAAAACCAAGAAACAATTCAGTTAAGCAGTAAATTCCTTTAAAAAGGCGAACGTCATTTGAAAACGAAAACCTTTTGGGAATTGATCGACCAGAACAGGTGCTATTTCAGCATAGCAAACCCAGCTTGTTTTAAAACAAAATTTGGGTATAATATATCGTTGCAGATATTTACTTTGCCGTTTAATTTAATCGCTACTTTAGGTTATTATCTATAGGCAAACGAAAAAAAAAAGTACAACCGTTTTTGCGATTATTTTTGCATATGTTTTAAATGGTGAAGATAATTTTGCAATGAAAGAACATAAGAGGTATTGGGTCAATTGAAAGATGTTTTAATTGCCAAGCCACTCATAAATGTACCGCATGTCAAATGGTTGTTGCTAAAACGAGGAATGGGAAATGGGGAATGGGAAATTAAAAAATGTGAAATCGAGGGCAGTGTTCAGCTCTCCGATTCAGTTGTTGCTTAAAACGACGCAATGGTCAATGGCGTAATAAGGTTGAATTATTATTTTCCTTTTTTTTCAAGCGCCTACCTTTTGAAATTTGAATGATTAGAAAAAATACTTTATGGTACTTAAGGCTGTCGTCCAGACTCATCGATAATTGCAGGGAAGCGATTCCCCGATTCCTTATAATTATGAACTATACCCATGAATGAAAGCTCTTTGCATTTCTGATAGTTGTATTGATAGAAAACATGTTATGCCTATTCTTAAATGTATTAGAGCGGTTTTCACTTGACTGTCGTAAAACCAAAACCAAAGTAAATACACTAGCCAACCAAAGGGCGTAGTAAAACCAAAACCAAAACCAAAACCAAAACCAATCCCTTTCGACAGTCAAGTGAAAACCGCTCTAGAATACCGTAAAGTTAAGATAAAAGGGATCCAAACATCGTCCAAATATATCAACACTTGTAAAGGAGATTCCGCTCGGCCACCCATCCAAGTATTTTCTGCGCCCGACAGCGCTAAACTTTGCAGAACGAAGACGTCTGCAGTCACAGGAGAAGCAAAAAAACCGCTCAAACTGCTACGATACAGCATGATTCAGCGGTACTGAAATTAAAAGGAACATAGTTAAGAACTCAGAAAAAGTATCGTAACTCAGTACAAGTGTCAGCTGGGTCAGGATACGTCTTTCTGTTTTACTTCACGTTGTAAGACTAAATTTCAGAAAAAAAAGCGAGGTAAAATTGTCATGAATTGATGCATTTATATTTCACATCACAGACCAGCTACAACTACAAAAATATCATGCGAGAACAATAAAACGAAGACCTCGTTCAGCTACTTTTTAATCACAGGGAATGTTAGGAACTTATACACTAGGTAACATCAGGCGAGATACTTATATGCTTTGATTATCTATATTAACAGCGAAAATCTCGCTATTGTTGTCACTCGACAGAAATTTTGATTTCTTCATGACATATTTTTTGTACAAATCGTTAAGTCTCAATTGATACGTTGATTTTGTCGGCGTCTCTAATGGCATTGGCCTGGTTGGTACGATGTTCCTCTCTCTCCCCATCTACTGATAATTAGACTTCTCCCATAAAATTGGCCTGGTTGGTGAGCTGTTCCTCTCTCTTGAAACCAAAAGATATCTTGACGTCTTTGACGACATTGGCCTGGTTGGTGTGTTGTTCCTCTCTCTCCCCGCCTTGGGATGTTTCGAAGTATCTGATGACATTAGCCTGGTTTGCATGCTGTTCCCCTCTCTCTCCACCCAGGGATATTTCCACGCCTCTGATGGCGTTGGCCTGGTTAGTATTCTGTTCCCTTTTCTCTCCTCTCAGGTTGGATTCAAAATTGACCACTATTGTTCCCAACATCTTGCTTTAAAATTCGTCAGCTTCATTGTGGTTTTTCTTTATCAATAATTCAATGAATGCGACCCGAAACTGTTGTAACCTTATACAATAAATAAACGGATTAACAAGAGAGTTAAAGGCCGCTAAACTACCAACAACCATAAAAATGGAAGTCAACGTGCCCACGCTTACGACGTTTTTCAGAGGCTCCTTGAGCTCTACAAAACTAATTACAGGAAAATAACTTGTTATTATCAGAATTATAATCATCACTGTTAATTTGAAAGCTCGCTTTTGAGATAAAAAGTTCTCTTTTCTCGCTACATCGACTTGCTGAGCTGTTATTTCTTTTTCATGACGATGAACCTCACGGTAAACTATCACGTTGCAGATTACAATGATTGTAATAAGTGAAACTATGACAGCATGCGTAATATATCTACCCACTTCCTTGTTAATAAGCAACGCCATGTGTACAATTATAGTGACTGCCCATGCAAGAGAAGAGGCAATCAGTACACGACCCTTGGTGATGGTTTGAATGTAAACATGGGGACGCATGATGGCGATGTACCGATCCAGTGTTATTAAAAACAGGTGAACAATGGAAGACAAGCAAAAGAAGAAGAAGAAAAATCTTACGGCAATTTGTATTGAGCATGCACTGGCTGTGGTTTCCCCTTGTATGATATTCCATATCTGAGCCATAAAAAGAGGCTGGACAACTAATCCGACCATCACGTCAGTCAAGGCTAAGCAAGCCAATGCCATGTTGGACATGCTCTGCAGGCGTGCTTTAGTCTTCACAGCGATCATCACCAACAGATTCAACAAAATGGTAAAAGGGCAAGTCGTGGCGTGGATTACGATCAAGGCAACGAGAACAGCATAGGATAAATCGGACAGATGATCTGGCTTACCACCAATGAAACTGTAGAGCACACAGTTCCCGGGGAACTCGTATTGAATCTGGTGACTAGAGTTCATATTTTCGGCCGGGCTTCTGCTCCGTCTTGGACGTATTAATTTTAGGAAATGTCGTCTCATTCTGACTGATTAAAGTTTTGTTTTAGTCAAACTTTGACATTTTCAAGAGTCATTCTTGTGAACAAAATTTAATCTCGCATATGCTCAAAAACATTTTTAATACATGTATAACAATATTATATTTTGTTCGGTCTCTTTTTACATCACAAGTAAAACCGAAAGAGATTAAAGAGAGAAAAAAGAATTCATTTTCCTCTTGTCTGTAAAAAAAGCGAAAAAGGATATTTTGCCTTTTTTAATATCTAGACCGATATATTTCAACTGAAAGGTTTAGACAACGGCAAGCTGATTGAAGTACTGATTAGCACTAGTTCATGGCAGATAAAACAAACTGAATTATTAACATGAGACAAACGTATTATTTTCTTATGATTTTTCAGTAACTGTGTTTCTATCATAGTCTTGTTTGCTACTCGAAAGAAAAAGTTTCGAGTATTTGAATTTCCTCTAAGTAGAAAAACTTTAGGGTGAACAAGTAACGAGGAAACGTTTTCGATGTTAGTAACGGCTTTATGTTGTTCGATATAATAGTGATTACGAAACAAGGACCCCAAGCTCTCTCGTCACAATCGTTACTTATAATAGCTTGTATGGAATGAATACAACAGTATGACTAGAAACAATTTACTGAAAATTTCCCTAAACCAAGACCGCATATTAAAAAAAATGAAACGTAGAGGCAAGGAGAGCTGGATTTTTGTTAAATTTATCCCCAATTTTATGATCGTTAAAATTTCGTTTGCGATAGATTCTCACTCATGACGAGTTTGGGGTTACTTTGTTAACAGGTTTCATTTAATCAGGTTTCATTTAATGTGCGAATAGTAAAATTAATCCTTAAAATAAACCCATTCTAACTCATTTTCTTTGTAGGCAATGACTAGTAGGGGACGGATATATCAAAATACTTCAAGGTGACTTATTGTATGAGGGAAAGTACGTTCAAAGTACTAAAAAGTACTAAAAACAAATATGTTTGAAGGTTGAATTTAGAATATAAAGCAGTTTTGTCTTATATATCGCGTATGACCAAACAAAAAATAAACACCAAACTTATTAATGCTTAAAGAGTGAGCGGAAAATTTAAATGAAGAAATAATTTATTTTAGCCGGAAATCCCTTTAAAGAGACGAATGTCATTTGCCCAAAACCCACAACCTGAAAACAAAAACCTTCTGGGAAATGATCGGTCAGAACAGGTGCTCTGAAATTTTGGGATAATATTGTGTTAGTACATTTATTATCTTTAAATACAGTGGTTATTTCCCATAGCAGTATAGCCGTACAATGAAACTGTTTTTGCGACTGATAAGTGAAGTTCTTTATTTTTTAAAAAAATGCCTTTAATCATTGTTGGATAAAACAAGTTACACATACGGAACATTACATGACTTTAATCTGTGACCCTTTAATAGCTTGTTAAAAATATAACTCTCAGATAATTTTGACGTCCTCGAAATTTCTAACGAAGAAGAGCAAAGCAAACATTTAAGGCATGGTCCGAACTCGTAATTTTTCTGTCACGTGATTCCCAGGGGCGAAGGGGGGTAGGGTGCGACAAACATTATTCAAACCGTCCCCAGCAATAATGTGGCAATAAGAGCAAAAAATTGAGTGAAGTAAAAAAATATTTTCGTTGCAAAGCGTCCAAGAGAAGCGCACGTCATTACGCGGACGAAAGTAGAAAAGAAAATCAACTTTCACGACACGGTTTTTATTGGGGACTTTTTTGTTCCTGTGTTTACAAGCGGAATATGTTTCAATAAGCTAGCGAACAGTAAAATAAGTCCTCAAAATAAACCCATTCGAATTCAGTTTTTTTCAATGCACTGACTACAAAGGGACAGATATATCAAAATACTTAGAAGTGACTTATCTAGAAGAGAATTAAGTTAAAAGTACCATAAAATTGAATATGTTTTGACGTCTGAAAAAGCAGTTCTGTAACTTTACACAAATATTTCATACATATCGCGCACGATATAACAAAAATAGACATGACACTTATTAATGCATAAAGATAGAGAAATTAAAATCAAGAAACAATTCAGTTAAGCAGCAAATTCCTTTAAAAAGACGAACGTCATTTGAAAAGGAAAACCTTTTGGGAATTGATCGACCAGAAAAGGTGCTATTTCAGCATAGCAAACCCAGCTTGTTATAAAATAAAATTTTGGGATAAGTATTGTCGCAGATATTTACTTTGCCTTTTAATTTAATCGCTACTTTAGGATATTGCATAGCCAAACGAAAAAAAAGTACATAAAACGTTTTTGCGATTATTTTTGCATATTTTTTAAATGCTGAAGATAACTTTGCAGTAAAAGAGCAGAGAAGACCGTATTGAGTCAACTGAAAGATGTTTTATTCGCAAAGCCACTCCCAATGTCAAATGGATATTGCTAAAAGCAGGAATGGGGAATGGGGAATGGGGAATGGGGATTCGCAAATTGAAAATGTGAAATCATGGTCAGTGTTCATACCAGAATACTTATCTCTCTGATTCAGTTGTTGTTTAAAACGAAGCAACGCCTCAAAGGCACGTAATGAGGTTGAATCATTATTAGTTTCCTTTTTTCTTTTTTCAAGCGCCTGCCTTTTTTAAAGTTGAATGATTCGAAAAAAATACTTTATGGTACTTATCAGAAGCATATATGCATATATGCTTCTGTACTTATTAATAAGGCCGTTGTCCAGACTCATCACCGATTCGCCGATTCCTTCTAACATATACCCATGAATAAAAGCCGTTTGCATTTCTGATATTTGTATTATTTGAAAACACGTTATGCCTTTTCTTTATTGTATTAAAAAATCGTAAAGTTAAGATAAAAAGAATCCAAAAATTGTTAAAATATCAACACTGGTAAAGGGGATTCCACTCGGTTACCCATCCAAGTATCTTCCGCGCCCGACAGCTCTTAACTTTGAAAAACGAACACGTCTACACTAACAGAAGAGGCAAAAAAAATACCTCAAACTGCTATTACACCGCATGATTTCACCGCTACAGAAATTAAAAGTAACATAGTTTTAACTTTAAAGAACTCAGTGAGAAGCGTACTTGATTACATTATTAATCAATTACGTGCCGTTTTTAAAAACGTTTTTTCTTGTTCAAATTAGTCCCCTTTCTTGTTATGTGTTTACATAGCCGTTTTTCGTCGTGCCAGCGTTGTTTGAACTGTCTGTGTAACTTTCTTGTTAGTAGGCTTCTTCGAAGCTGTTTCGGGATGTCTCGCAACCGCAGGTGTTGGCACGGCCGCGGCCGTCGTCGTCGCATGGGAGCTTAAGAAACGAAGACGGCGACGGCGACGGCAACGAGAACGGCAATAAACCAATAGGTTTAGATTGACAAAATAACAATCTTGCACGCGTATCGATATCGTGCTTTTTTGTACATTTCTTTGCCGTCGTTGCACGACTACGACGTGAAAATGCCTATGTAATTAGTTCTCGTTTAGTCGAAGACGGGAACATAAAACAACAATTTTCTTTTTCTTTTCCTGAACTTTGACACAACTTTTAATAATTCAACTCCAAAAAAATTCGCCAACATTTGACAAATTAAACCAGATGGAATAAGCACGATAAAGTTTGAGGCAGCGCGAATTCACATTTTTAAGTGACGTTTTCGTAGCCGTCGCTATCGTCGTTGCTTAAGCTTTCTATTACTGGACCACGACGGCCTATGCCAAAACGTTACTGGGAAAGCGTTGTGTGACATCCCAAAAACGACTGCGAAGAAGACTTGGAAAGCGGAGGAAGAGGACAAAGGAGCAATTTGTACCGACTTCCCTACACGCAATTCCTTTTTGACAAGTGTACGTACGTGTGTCCAGGAGAGACTGCTAAAGAGTTTGCCCCGAATAAGTTACAGCTGAAGGAGCGTGCACTTCGATTTTGCGCGGTTCCCACCATACTTTTGATTTCTTGAAATGTTTTAGATTTTTTCTTCCTGTGCCGCTATAACTTAAGTTTTCAAATGACAAAACCTTTTCTTTCCGTCATGCCCCAAGATATCCTCAGAGTTTTAACCCACTCCATTCGCCGGGGTCCAACTCCTTATTTCTTATATACCATTTTTGAAAGAAAATTTCGTAAATCTTCTTTAACAAATGGTAGCCCTTTCATATACCTAGTTTAGAACGGTGGATCCCTTTTTACTGCTGTAAATACACTGTCTTTTAAGTATAATTAAATCACTATACAAGGAACTGATTGACAAGCATGTTAAGGCATCACCCAAAGTCTAATTTGCATAAAAGCTGTAACGAATCATGAGAATTTACGTAAACATGATGAATCTTGATAATAACATAAAACTTGACATCCTTAAGTCAGTGTCCTGTGTAAAAGGGGAATTTTTTGGATCACGTGACCTGTTATAGCAGTTTTCTTACGCAAAGAGACAAGTGAAAATGGGCCGCCGAGATGACATGTAACGGGGACATTAAAACACTAACGTAATTGTCTGGTTTCTCCACTTAAGAATCTGTCTAGAATGGATGACCTATCATTTACCGTTAAAGAATAATTTTAAAAACTAGGTCATTCACCTGACCATTTTATTCTTCTAATGAAATGAGATTTTTCTCCGTTCTGGACAGAATTTGAATCTATGCACCATGTCAATGAATACTGTATGTTTTTTTGCTTGCCAGACTTCATTTTTTCCTTTTTCTTCAATCATGACGTCATCGAAACACGTGACCACAGTTAAAAACCCCTTTTTTAACGTTGAATTATTCCTGCTTTGTACTTCAAATGATCGAAGGAGCTAAAATAACACTACTTCTATTAAGGAAGCTAATTTCTTCGCGGGAGGTCTAAGGTCAGAGAAAGGGCGATGCCTTAAAGAAGTTTTCTTGACTTCTACAGAGCCATAAAATGCACCCGTAAGCCTTTTTGGGTCATGTTAAAGACCAAAATGACTGATTCCCCTTCCCTTTCATATGATTCAACTACTGAAACCCCTACCCTTTTATATACCTGAAGCCTCGACGTGGTACCTCTATTGGGCGGAGCTTCCCAGCAGACGCCATTTTAGGGAGTACTGCCACCCTGGAGAAATGGTACATATGATTTCCTGATTTCAGAATTTGAACTACCATCTGCTCAAACCCCTAGGGCTCTACCTCCAAGAAACGCTTTCAAAGCGGCTCGTCACATTATCGATCCTGAATGAAAGATCTGTAAGAATTTCATACTTATTGGACTCTCAATTTCTATTTTACGACTAATGTATCAGCTGGGTCAGGAAAAGTCTTTCTGTTTTGCTTCACGCTGTAAGACTAAATTTCAGAAGAAAAAGCGAGGTAACATTGTTATGACCTGATGGATTTATATTCTACATTATAGACCAGCTACAAGTACACAAATATTATCCGAGAACAACAAAAAAATACAAAGTTCAGCTATCTTACAATCTCCAATATCAGGAACCTATAATGGTAATAGGACTGAGTAGAGTTCAATTCAGGAAGTAATCAGGTGTGTAATTTCAACTAGGCCGAGCGCGTAGCGCAAGGACGATATGGCTGTTGGTATAACTAATTAATTGTGTCAACAACTAGCAACTTAGTGCGAGAATCTTGGAATATTTATCAAAGTTCACAGTTTGTATTAAATCAGCTCAAAAGAAGAATTACAACTTTTGGAGAAACTATACATTTTTAAAAAAAAATGAAGTGAGTCAATCTAAATCCTCAACATCGCTTATGAGAGTAATAATCATCACTGTATCTCTGGCCCAGGTTGTTCAAAAGCTGGATAGCGCTATCCACCGGATAAATCATTATCCAGCGGATACGGGTTTACGGGAAACAATTGCGTTATCCGCTGGATAGTGATTTATCCGCTGGATAGCGCTATCCATCGTTTGAACAACCGGGGCCTGGTCACTACATCGACTTGCTGAACTGCTATTTGCTTTTCATGGTGATGAACCTCACGATAAACTATCACGTTGCAGATTAAAATGATTGTCATAAGTGAAACTGTGATAGCATTCACAATAGCTCTTAACAGTTTCTCGTCAATGAACGACACGATGTCTTAAAATTATAGTCAATGCCCATGAAAAAGTTGTGGCAATCAGCGCACGGGCCTTGGTGACGGTTTGAATGTAAGTAGCAGGACGTATGATGGCGATTTACTGATCCACAGTCACGAGGAACAGATGAACAAAGGACGAAAAGCAAAAGAAGTTGAAGAAAAATATTGTGGTTACTTGTAGCAAACATGAACTGGCTGTGGTCTCCCCTTGTATGAGATTCAGCATTGGAGCAATAAAGAGAGGCTGGACAACTAATCCGACCATCACGTCCGTCAAGTCTAAACAAGCCAATGTCATATTTGATATGCTCTGCAAGTTTGCTTTAGTTTTCACGGCGATCATCACCAACAGATTCAACAAAATGCTAAAGTGACAAGTCATTGTGTGGATCGCGATCAGAGCAACGAGAATAGCATAGGTTTCATCGGACAAATGATCTGGCTTACCACCAATGCAAATGTAGATAACACAGTTCACGAGAAACTCGGTTTGAGTCTGGTGACTCGAGCTCATCTTCTCTTTTCTGCTCCGTCTTGGACGCCTAACTCTAGCTACGAAATTATGTCTTGTCCTGTCTGGCTTTCGTTTTTAATCAAATTTTGAAATTTTCAAGAGTTTTCTGAGAACAGATTTTAAGTTCCCATATGCTCAAAACTATTTTTAACGGAACAATGTTAAGAGTAAAAAAAATAATTTTCCTTTGAAAAACATAGCAAAATCCAGACAGCACGCCGAGGATGAATGAAGCACTAATTAGCAATAGTTCATGGGCGATAATTTTAAAATCATTGGCACGTGGCAAACACATCGTTTTCTCACGATCAGCCATGTTACAGTGACTGTGTTCCCATCCTGTTTGCCACTCGAATAAAACCTTTCGCGTATTTCCCTTGAATTTCCTCTAAGATGAAAATCTTCAGACTAGCAGATAACATGAAACGTTTTCGCAACTAGTAACGTTTTGTTGCTCGACATAACTGACTTGTTTATAGACAGGCAGCCCAAGCTAGTCACCAGTGAGTAGTGACAATGGTTGTTGCATAAGATCATAAATTATAAAGCTCGTAATATATCATGGCCTGAATGCATCGCTGTAGGAATCGCTCTGAAACCACCAAAAATAGCCAAGACCTGGCATTAAATGAAACTTGGAGGCAAGGAAAGCTGAATCCTTATTAGTTTTATCCCTAACTTTGCGATCGCTAAAATTACCTTTTACGATACGATTCTCACTCCTGAGTTTGGGTTTCCTGTGTTTTCAGGTGAAATGTTTTATTTAGTAGGCTAATAGAAGTCTTCAAATTATCGAACCGTTTGAACTCTTTTTCCGTCGAAAGTAATGGTTAGAACGGGCAGATATACCAAAATACTTAGAAGAACTAACTTCTGTAAGAAGTCAACTAAATTGAAAGTACTAAAGAGTTGAAGCCAGAAAAAAGTAGTCTGTTCCTTTACATAAGATCTCTCACATATCGTGTACGACAAAACGGAAAATGGACTTCTCAAACTCAAATTAAAAGTACTAAAGAAAATTAATGTTTAATTGTTTGCGGATGAAAAAAAGTATTTGCATCTCCTTCAAAAAATGATTTTGTTTGTTCCTTTAGTGTTTCATCAAGATCTCTCCCGTCGTATTATCGTCTCTTACGACAAAACGGAAAATACTGCGTCTCATGTTTGATATATTACATGAAACTTATTAATTCATATACGGAGAGAGAACAAAATTAAGGAAGAAAGAATTCAGTTACGCAGGAAATCTCTTTAAAGAGATGAACAACATTTATGGAAAACGTCAAATTGAAAACAAAAAACTTTCAAATTGATCCATCAAAAAACAAAAACCTTCATATCAGGAGGAAAATGATCATAGTGTTGCTAAAAGGCTAACGTCATTTTGGAAGATAGTTAAACTGTTTTTGCGACTGGTAGGTGAAGTTATTTTATTTAAAAAAAGATGTTGAAAATAACGTCGCAATTAAAGAGCAAAAACAATTGAGTCAAGTGAAAGGCGAACGTCATTACCGTAAACTGCCGCTTAAAAGCACTGGGCTGAGGGATTATAAACGGAGGGCTTATATCCGAGGGGCTTCTAACCGGAATAGAAAAAGCGTTCCTTTAACTGCTATATATAAATACACTGTCTTTTAATTATGAATAAATCTCTAAACAAAGACGTTTTCTTGACGATAGCTTTCAAATGAATCTTTAAGCCCTTTAGGTGCTTTTAAAGACTGAAATGACAAATTTCTCTACACTTTCATATTCTTCAACTAGTATAATCCCTACCCGTTTATAAGGCTGAAGGCTAAAAAAGGCACCCCTTTTGGGCGGAGCGTTCCCGTATAGGCCATCATTGGAAGTACTCCCCGGGCTCTACCCTTTGGAAACGCTTCTAAAGAGGATCGCTAAAAAAGGCACCCCTTTCGGGCAGAGCCTCCCAGTGTAGGCCATCATTGGGAGTACTCCCCGGGCTCTACCCCTAGGAAACGCTTCTAAAGAGGATCGCTAAAAAAGGCACCCCTTTCGGGCGGAGCCTCGCCGGGTTCTGCCCCTAGGAAACGCTTCTAAAGAGGATCGCTAAAAAGGGTACCCCTTTCGGGCGGAGCCTACCCGAATAGGCCAACATTGAGAGTGCTCCCCAGGGCTCTACCCCTAGGAAACGCTTCAAAAGAGGATCGCTAAAAAAGGCACCCCTTTCTGGCGGAGCCTCCCCGTATAGGCCAACATTGAGATTACTCCCCGGGCTCTACCCCTAGGAAACGCTTCTAAAGAGGATCGTAAGTTACTTGATCCTAAATGGCAGGTTTGTAATAATTTCATACTATTTGCTCTTGCAATTTATATTTTGCAAGAATTGTCAGGTATCAGCTGGGTCACGACACGTCTTTCTATTTTACTTCACGCTGTAAGAGTAAAGCGAGGTAAAATTGTCATGAACTGTTCGATTTATATTTCACATGATATACCAGCTACAGGTACAAAAATATCATGCGAGAACAGTAAAAAGAAGACTTAGTTCAGCTACTTTACAATCAGCTATATCAGGAACCTATAAACATGGTAACATCATTCAAGGTGTGATGTAGTTTGATTATCTATATTAACAGTGAAGATCTCGCTATTGTTGTCACTCGACAGAAATTTTGACTTCTTTTTGACATATTTTGTACAAATTGTTAATGGTCAAATTATCCAAATAATGCAGAACCAGAGGAAAAAATTCCCTTATTTCGGTCTACCAAGCATGTTTTACTGTCAGTTGTGGCAATATGGCTAGGTTGATACGTTGACTTTTTCGTCGTCTCTTGTGACATTGGTCTGGTTGGTGTGTTGTTCCCCTCTCACTCCACCTAGGGATGTTTCGACGTCTCCAATAACACTGGCCTGTTTGGCAAACTGTACCTCTCTCTTCCCACCAAAGATTAATTATCTCTCGACGTCTCTGACGACATTGACCTTGCTGTTGTGTTGTTCCTCTCTCTCCTCTCCTAGGGATTTTTCGACTTCTCTGATGACATTGGCCTGGTTTGCATCCTCTTCCCCTCTTTCCCCACCTAGGGATGTTTCGATTTCTCTGATGACATTGGCCTGGTTTGCATGCTGTTCCCCTCTCTCCCCACCAAGGGATGTTTCGACTTCTCTGATGACATTGGCCTGGTTAGTATGTTGTTGCTCTCTCTTTCCCCTCCGATTGGATTCAAAATTGACCACAACGTTTGTTCCAAATATTCTACCTTCAAATTCTACAGCTTCGTGGTGGTTTTTCTGCATCAGTAATTCGATGAATGAGACTCGAAACTGTCTTAACCTTATACAGTAAATAAACGGATTAACAAAAGAGTTAAAAGCCGGTAAACTATAAACAGCCATAAAAATGCAACTCAATGTACCAAAGCTCACAATCCTTTTCAGGGGCTCCTTGAGCCTTCTAAAAATAATTACAGGCAAGAAACTTATAACTAAAAGTGCAATGATCGTCAATGTTAATTTAAAAGCTCTCTTTTGAGATAAAAAGTTTTCTCTGGTCACTACGTCGACTTGCTGAGCTGCTATTTGTTTTTCATGGCGATGAACCTCACGATAAACTATTATGTTGCAGACAGCAATGATTACAACAAGTGAAACTACGACAACACCGATGATAGTTCTAAAAAGTTCCTCGTCAATGAGGGACACGATGTGTACAATTACAGACAGGGCCCATGCAAGAGCTGTGGCAATCAGCACATGAGTTTTGGTGACGGTTTGAATATAAATATAGGGACGCATGATAGCGATGTACCGATCCACTGTTATTAAGAAGAGGTGAACAGCGGAAGAAAAGCAAAAGAAGGTGATGAAAAATCCTGTGACACTTTGTATTGAGCATGCACTGGTTGTGGTCTCCCCTTGGATAAGGTTCACCATCTGAGCAATAAGAAGAGGCTGAACAACTAATCCGACCATCACGTCAGTCGAGGCTAAACAGGCTAATGCTATGTTAGACATGCTCTGCAATCGTGCTTTGGTCTTCACAGCGATCATTACCAACAGATTCAACACAATGGCAAAAGGGCAAGTCGTGGCGTGGATTACGATCAAGGCAACGAGAACAGCATAGGGTAAATCAGACAAATAATCTGGCTTACCACCAATAAAACTGTATATAACACAGTGCACAGGAAAATCGTTTTGAATCTGATGACTCGAGTTCATGTTCTCAGCTTCTGCTCCGTCTGATCTTGAACGCCTAACTCTACGAAATGTTGTCTTATTCTTTCTGGTTTTATTTTTGTTTGTAGTCATGTTTTCAAGAGTTTCCTGTGAACAAATTTTAAGTTCGCATATGCTCAAAACTATCTTTAAAAGAACAATTTCAATGTTTTTGTTTAAGTCTCTTTTTGCACTACAAGCAAAATGGACAGACTAAATAGTGAAAAATTCATTTTCCTTTGGAAAACAAAGGCAAATAGCATATTTTTTTGCTTTTTCTCTAGACCTTTTTATTTCGGAAAGGTTTAGAAAACAACAGACTGACTGAAGAAATAATTAGCAATAATTCATGGGGGATAAAATTGAAAAATCATTAAAATGTGACAAAGGAATCTTATTCTCACGACCAGCTACGGTGTGGCACGAAACTTTTGTGGGAGTTAATTTTAATTTGCAGATTGGCGATTTTTTGTGTTTTGCGGGAGCTAATTTTTGCCATTAGGACAGATTGTTTTTTCTTGCTGGGAATTAATATTTGCGCTTTTCGGAAATTCCCGGACAAATTATTGATAATATTTTCGTTTTTATTGAGTACGTACAATGGAAATCCGTATTTCAGAAAAAAATGTGCGGTTTGCGTACCCTGAACCAGTAATCGTTTTGTTTTTGAATGAAAGAAACAAGTTATACAGTAATTGAACAGACACGAATTCTTAGTACTTCACTTTTTTGTGTAGCGAATTTAAGTTAGAGAATATTTACTCAGGAGTAAATTTTTGCGGGGAAAAATGTTTGCGGTAATTTTTTTTTGCTCTTACTTATTTATGCGGATCGCTGGAAAAATCGCAAAAATTAAACCCTGCAAAAATTTCGTGTCACACGGTAGGGTTCGCACACCGTAGTATTATTTCAAATACGGATTTCCATTTACCCTGGTCCCAGAGGTTTTTCTTGATTTTTCTTCGCGAAAGAGATCAACAGCAAGCCGCGAAGCAGCGACAACGAGTCGCGTAAGCGACGAGGACAGAGAGAAAAACCTCTGGTTACCTTGGCCTCGAATCTCACTTCCATGCTGACGACAGGGTCAGGATCTGACCCTCGGGCGTTGATTGGTTGATAGTTTTTCAAACGCGCAAACCAATTTGATTGGCTCGTTTAATTGTAACTACCGAGGGGACGCTGAGGATTTTCACACCTCATTTTGCCTCTCTCTACTAGGGAAGAAAATTGTTTGTATGCTGCACTCGCAATAACATTTGCACGGGACCAAGGCACGTAGAGGCACGCCATGGATGTTGTTCCTGAAAGAATATTCGAAGAAATTTTGACCTCGGTACTTAATGAGCGCTTTCCTGAATCTCACTGAGCAACAAAAGAAAGCTTTGTTCGCTTCGTTGAGTCGAAAGGATGTGTTCACCATTTTATCAACCGGACATGGAAAGTATATTTTCTGTTACAATACTGTCATTCCATTAAATAAACTAACTTGTTTAGGGCAGTAAAATAAAAAATCTCCGAATACGGAATGAAAGTTTCCTTGGAGGAAAAAAACATACAACTTTGTACAAGTACATAATCATTTTCGGGTGCAGCTTGATTTTCCTGCGACGCCCAAAAAAGATCTAACCGACGCTATTTTTGGCATAGACCTATTCGGCTAACTCAATGTTCTACCCAATCCAAATCTCCCGGGGATAAGATTCTTTGTGTATTGCATTTGCATTATAATGTGGCATTCACATTTAAATGATATGGAAATTCCTGAAACAAAACGTTTTATTCTCAAAGGGTTTGAATTCGGTACATTGAGTTGATGGGCTCCTGGTTAGCCGAATAGGTCTATTGGGCCAACAAAAACCTCTGAAAGTACATTCCGAACCTTAAGGGTTTGTTGTGCTGCATGACTCTTCCTAGCGTCGTTGTTCCACAAAAAAAGGAAATGGAGCCACCAAACCAAAATGCGAGCCAGATTGCCAGAATACATATTAATATTACTATTTCAGGGGAATGCCCGCGAATCGACGCGAGCGGCGCGCCCCGCAGAAGTAAACAATGTAATAAGCGCGATTGATAGACTCTTGCAAACTTTACAACTTCCCCCTGGCACACTGCTGACAGAACAGATGACAATGTTTGTGAAAAATCCTTGTTATTATACCCAAATAAATTCTGCAAGTCCTGCAGCATTCGTTTGGAACAATGTCGGTTTCTTTATAAAGTGGTCTTCTTATTCCTGGACTCTTGTCGCCCATCGTTAACACATGCTTTAGCTTGACCCCGATTAACAAATCACTCTTTACCACCCAAGTGAAGATGGTTTGTTCATAACATAATTTCCCCAGGTCTACCCCGACTTAAAAAAATAGCGGCTGATAAGCACGTGTTTGCTAAGTTGCCATTGGTCACTCTTTTTATTAGCAATTTGACGCGTTTGACAGCTGTCGTCTGCATGAAAGTGAGATTCGAGGCCAAGGTAACCAGAGGTTTTTCTCTCTCTCCTCGTCGCTTTCGCGACTCGTTGTCGCCGCTTCGCGGTTTGCTCTTGATCTCTTTCGCGAAGAAAAATCAAGAAAAACCTCTGGGACCAGGGTAATTTCCATTGTACGTACTCAATAAAAACAAAAATATTATCAATGATTTGTCCGGGAATTTCTGAAAAACGCAAAAATTTATTCTAGTAAGAAAAACCAATCTGTCCTAATCGCAAAACTGATTAGTTCCCGCAAAACACAAAATACCGCCAATCTGCAAAAATAAACTCCCGCAAAAATTTCGTGCCAGACGGTATGTAAAACCTGTAATCGTTTTGTTTCTGGACGAGATACAAGTTGTAATTGAACAGACACGATTTCTTAGTACTATGTTTCTGTGTATTAGAGACTATTTACTCTGGAGTAAATTTTTGCGGGAAAAATCTTTGAGGTAACTTTTTTGGCGGTGAACTTAACTAACTTATTCATGCGGATCGCTGGAAAAATCGCAAAAATTAAAACCCGCAAAAATTTCGTGCGACACGGTATGTTACAGTAACTGCGTTTCCATCTTGTTTGCTATTCGAACAAAACCGTTTTGTTTATTTCCCTTGAATTTCAGTTTCTCTACGATTAAAAACTTCAGACTAACAGATAACTTGAAAACGTTTTCGAAACTAGTAACGTTGTGTCGCTAGCCACGGGACATGTTTATGGAACAGGTACCCTAAGCTCACTTAGGGCCTGTTTACATGAAGGTGGGGGACCCGAGGTAGGTGAGGTAACATGTGGCGGGTTACCCACCTATCATGTAAACGTGATCACATTAAAATGAGGGATTATATGGACAGGTGGGTTACCCCACCTAAGCGGGTTACCTCACCTACCTGGGTCCCTCACCTCCATGTAAACCGGCCCTTATGCCAATCCTTGTCGCATAACTTCGTAAATTATAAGGGCTTGTACGTAAGAAATACTAAAACAGTATGGCTAAAACATGCTTGAATCGCACTGAAACCACCAAATAAAAAAGCCACGAACACGCATTAAATGAACCTTGTAGGGAAGGGAAGCTGGATTTTTGTTAGTTTTATCCCCAGCTTTACGGTCGCTTGAATTACCTCTTACGACACGACTATCATTGTGAGTTTAGGGTTCCTGCATTTTCAGGTAAAATACTTTTGCTTAGTGAAATAATTCCTCCAAATCAAGCCAACAGAGATAATTTTCTTTGAAAGGAATACCTACATTGGGGCAGATCTATCAAATACTTAGAAGTGCCTTCTGTATGAACTGAATTGCGTCGTTAAAAGAGTCCTTAAAGTGAAATGTGTTTGAAGTTTAAAGTCAGGAAAGAGTAGATCTGTCTATACAAAAATCTATCATATATTGCGTGCAACAAATCAGAAAATAGACATGAAACTTATTAATGCTTATACAGAGAGAGGAAAATTAAAGAGGAAATAATTCAGGTACGCAGGAAATCTCTTTAAAGCGATGAACAACATTTATGTAAAACGTCAAATTAAAAACAAAAACCTTCTGGGAAATGATCCATCAAAACAGGTGCTATTTCAGCACAGCAAACCTGACTTCATATCAGGAGAAATTAAATGATTGGGATAACATAGTGTTGTTAAATTTACTTTGACTTTTAATACAATAGTTATTTTGGAAAATAGTCCAGTCACATAACTAAACCGTTTTTGCGACTGGTAGGTGAAGTTATTTTTTTTTGTAAAAAGATGTTGAAAATAACGTCGCAATAGAGTACCGAAGTGTGACGTCATAAAAAATGAAATTTGTGAAATTATGGGATTTGTTAAGCTATTCTGAAAGAACAACGTCCAAGACGCCTACTCGCCAAAAATTAGCAATTTGGGGCAAATTGTCTCTGAGATATTAGCCCAGTTATGCTCCGATGACTCCATACAAATCCTTCTAAATCTTACCTGGTTCCTAATCTTATGAACCAAGCCAAATTTAGAAGGATTTGTATGGAATCGTCACAGCATAACTGGGCTAATATCTCAGAGACAATTTGCCCCGAATTGCTAATTTTTGGCGAGTAGGCGTCTTGGACGTTGTTCTTTCAGAATAGCTTAACAAATCCCATAATTTCACAAATTTCATTTTTATGACGTCATCACTTCGGTACTCTATTAAAGAGCAAAAACAATTGAGTCAAGTGAAAGGCGAACGTCATTACCGTAAACTGCCGCTTAAAAGCACTGGGCTTTTGCATCTTCGTAACGGGTTTTTAGAGGGCTTATAAACAGAGGGGCTTATATTCGAGGGGGATTATTACCGGAATAGAAAAAGTGCTTCGAACCAAGCTACAGCACTGCTGATAAAAATACGTTTTGCATTTCCTGGTTTTTAATAAAGTCTCAAAACGTCATAATATATCGAATTCATTTCAATACATTTGGAACTGTAGAGGCTAGAAGCAGGGGCTAGACGGAGGGGGGGGCGCTTATAACCGGGGGCCTTATCATCGGATATATTTTTTTGTTTACAGGTAGAGGGACCTGTTAATGGGGGTTTATAAGATGAGGAGGTTATAGGCGGTAGTTTACGGTATGCGGAAGAAAAGGACACATCAAACAAACTTTTACTGGGAAATAAGGGAATTAAGTTCTACACGTACCTCTCGGTAAATAAGTAATAAGAGAACGGGATACAAAAACGACCACTTTGCAGTTTAAAGCATTTATATAAATTATTTTATTTTTAAACTGACAAAAAAGTGCTAGTGGTGTTTCTAGAGTTTAATAGAGGGATTCATACTGTATTAAGATGCAAAATAATAAACTTTTAGTGCCTTATCTCTCATGATATACTTTCACTTCTAACCTGCCAGCAGAGGCTACATTTTCTCGGTGTGAACTGGCGTGCGAAAAGTAGCCTCTGCTCGCAGGGTAAGCGTTTTACTGCTTGGCCAAGTAAAACTAATCGGAGAAGGCCAGTAAATCCCTAATAAAACCGACGGCGCGTTATCTACCAACAAAAATTTACAAGCTACAGTCCTTAAAGTTAAAACCACCTTGTGTAGCATAATCAGCAATTCGAGTGAGAGAAGGAGCCTTGGAACCGAGTGCGATCCTGAAGGATGACGTCACACCCGAACTCGCCGAGGTCGTCTGGTAACGAGGTTGCAAACTTCCCTGACTTTTTCCTGATTTTGCAATTAAGAAATGAGAGTTTTCCCAACTTTTTGTAAATTTCCTGACTTTTTCTTGAATTTAAAATACGATTGTCATTTATAGTGGCAATCCTGCTCTATACACACTGTACAAATAAAAACCTAAATCATAGAATTCTAAAAAAGAGTACTTGCGTCGGTGTGAAAAGCACCTTCAACACTTAATTTCTAGAAACCCACTTTGGATGTCTTTGCACATTAATTGATGAAAATTACAAAAATCTACACTTTGTAAAGGTGAAGGATCAACTTAGTCATGTTTGTGGTAGAACATCATGTTTTTGGCTTCAAAGCATACCTGTAAAGAGAGAGACACAACTTTCTATATACCATCATCTTTACTGGTTAAAAGTATTTCAGTCATCACCTTTGGTACATGCAAATTACAAAGAAAAATAGGTTTGGGTAACAATTCCGACAGCCTGATAGGATGCAACTTTGAGCAATAGGGAGTTTAAGATATCACGAAGGCGATGGCGGCAAAAACGTCGCTTACAAAGTTGACTTCTCGATCTATGAACCTTAAGGCGAACTCTACTGGAGTTGAATTCTTCGGAAAAATATCCAAGTTTAAAAAGAGTAAGAGGGATTCGTCGTCGTATGTTCACGTTGTCGATTAAACGTGAAACTAGGCCATTCACGCCGTAGTCGTGCAGTGACGGCAAAGAAATGTACAAAAAAGCGTGATGCACGTGCTGAGTTGTTGTTTTGCTAATCTTAACCAATTGCTTTTTGACGTTCTGGTTGCCGTCGCCGTAGTGGCATCTTAAACTCCCTGATATTGAAGTCAACAACACTCAGAATTATTTAACCCTTTATTAAGCCCTAATATCCAGATACAAATTCTCCAAACTGATCTCCATATATTTCCTTTAAGAATTAGTTGAGAGAATTTGATAAAACATCAAGGCATTTTCTCTTTGGTGATCATTTTATCAATTCTCACAACCTTATCTCTTGACAGTGTATGGGTATTGTCAGGAGAAAATTGATGCTGGTCACTATTGGGACTTAAAGGGTTAGGGCAGTTAGTATAAAACATGCCAGACTTACATCTTCACTCCATAAAGTTCACTGGGAAGGTTTTTCTGCATTTCCTCTCTGATTACCATTAATGATGATTTTGAAAACAACTCTTTAAGCCTACTGTCTGACCTGAATAAAAAAAAGGCATAGCTGCTATTAAAATTAACCGTTTGTTGCTGAAACTGAGACATAATTCCAACTTCAGTTTCAGTTAATTTATTTTGCCAGAAAATACCTTTTTTTTCATACATTGCATAATTATGTGCATATACATGTAAGAGAATTAGGTATTTATTCTGAGGAAGCTCAAGTCTAAACCATGGGGTCTCATCCCCATGAGCTCTTTTCCTAAAACTTAAGACTATAAATATAATGAACTAATGTGTGGCATAATCAGTTGAGTCAAATGTAACCCCTTATTCTGAGCACTTTTTTGTATTTTACTTAGCCTGCGTGAAAGGCACTTTGCAATTGGGGCATCACTCTTTGTGCTCGTCTTGTGCTTGGTAAAATGTCCTGTTCACCTTGCTCGCTCATAAAGCGCCTGCAATGCAACCTACCATTTACCATGATTTTTAAAATAATACTTGTCGTTTTTCACAAAATTTAATTTTGGACAGTTACTTAACATAACTTAATACACAAAAGTTCACCAGACCTTGTAACACTACTGTCCTCTGAGTCCAGATCTACTCCACTCTTTGTGATGTTTTCTTTGACACATATCAAACCACCAGGTGACAGCCCTGATTGGCAACGCATGAAAAAATCTACAAAGTCACCTGTTTAGGAAAGAACAATTACATAAATAGGTGGACTATTATTGTCCAGGTGAGAGCAGTCCTCAATAGGAATGTTTTTGACAGTAGCTGAGGTTGTGACAACTTGTGCATTAGTCATCTTCAGTGTCAAAGTGCTTTGCATCGGGTCAGTTGATAGTGGTTCATGAAGTTGCGATGTTATTGGTCATCTGGCAGTTAAGCCGTGATGTTAGTGGCTATGAAGAGGGGTCTGGGACACATACAAGGTTACAGGAGTGCAGAAAAACACCTCATGCTCATTTGCATCTCACTGAATAACAAAATATATATGGTGCTGAAAAGGCAAACAAAAATGCAAACTTCTTACAGGTCAGCACTAAATACCACAGGATCCCCAACAACCACACAATGCCCAAGATCGGAAATTACATTCTCCTATGTTGAATGCAGTGAGAGTGTATCAGTGTTATTCTTCATGCATGTGTTTATAGAGTACTAAAGTGTGACGTCACAAAAAGTAATATTAAATTTGTGAAATTATGGGACTTGTCAAGATATTCTGAAAGCACAACGTCCAAGATGTCTACTTGCCAAAAATTAGCACATTTGTGGGGCAAATTGTTTCTGAGATATTACCCCAGTTATACTTTGATGACTCCATCAAAGTGCTTGGGTCTAAACGTTTACACCCAAGTCAAATTTAGAAGGATTTGTATGGAGTCATCACCGTATAACTAGGCTAATGTCTCAGAGACAATTTGCCCCAACATGCTAATTTTTGGCAAGTAGGCATCTTGGACGTTGTTCTTTCAGAATATCTTGACAAATCTCATAATTTCAAAAATTTAATTTTTATGACGTCACCACTTTAGAACTCTATTATGTTAAGAATTAAAATTATCAAAAAAATGACTCACCATCTGTCAAGTGTCCTAAAACCCACTGGGTCCAAATGACACTGTACCTCCCGGCCTCAGGCTTAAAATCCTACATTAACACAAACATAAAGTTTAAAATATTAAATCACAAAATTATTCATTCAAAAAATTTCTCCATTTCAGGTTGGCTAATTTTCATGACTTAAAACTGTTGACCATAATTGGAAATGTGGGCAGGTATTATCCTCAAAGAGGGATTACTTTTTACAGATAAAAACTGTTCAAAAAAAGGGACAGCAGAAGGCGTGGCAGCATCATTGTTTAAATAGAGCTAGAGAAAATGGCAGAAAATTTGGAAAGAAGAAATAGCTGAACTACTGTCTAAAAACAAAGCACGAACAGCAAAACACCATTGTTCTCCTCATCAGACGGTAACCGGGTTAAATTTACTGGCTGAGGCAACACTTCTTACCACCTGCAACCACTTGAAAAATTACTAAAATAAAATAAGTTTTAAAAAATACACAAGTTGTGATCTGATCCAATCAAGAAATGAATGGATACATGGAAAAGTAATAAAGTATATACAGCTTTTCTTTTTTGGGCCACGCATTTTGGAAAGAGAACCCTGAAGACAGAGTAAAATTATTGGGATCAAACGTTTTAAATAATTGTTGTCTATTATAAAGATAACAACAGCCGATTTGCATAAAATAGGTCTTAAAATGAGGGAATGATGTTTCAAAGAACTTAGCACTTCCTGGGGTGGGGCCATTCCCTCACTAATTTACCTCTACACCAGGCCTGTTTTGGGCTAATAGCACACGGAGAGACTTGCACACACTTAAGTCCTGATCACGTTCATTGTTTATTACTAAATCAAGGTGCTTTCATACATCACACATCTTATACATATTCCAGAGGCCATGGGTTTGAATCTTGCTGAAGTCCCTCATTTAATAAAGTAAAAGTTTAAGTCACCAGGGGATACCAGGTATTGTTAGAACATAGCCCTGAGAACACTCAAGACAATACAAACTTTGTGCTTCATGTACATTTACTCTGCACATGTGGCAGCAAGGATGTTCAGAATTAAGTAAGATTGTAAAAATTAGAACTAACTATTTTACCTGCAGTCCAGTTGAATAAAAGTGTCCTATTCTATCCTTTTTTTCTCCCTAAAAATAAATAACAAAAAAATGTATACTGGGATAAGCGTCAGGGTTTTCATCAAGAATTCTAGTAGCAGGAGAAAGGTTTAGAATATTCTGAAAAAGGTTCCATGTCTGAATAAAAAATAATAGTCATACAGCTGAAGGCTAAACAGAGAATTCTCCTATTTCCGATGGCTAATGAACACCCTGCAGTTTCTAGATGTGGGTATCTCGGCACAGCTAGAGCTGGTGAAGTGGTCATTAACAGATTTGTTGGCAATTAGAGTATTGACATAATGAGTACTATGTAGATCAGACATAAAGTATAAGTTGTTATGGCTAACTTGTATCTAACATAGGCTCATGGAATACTTTATTGATAATTCTTGACTAATTTTGTTGTTGAAAGAATAAACTAAGGAAAGCATAGATGAAATGAACTCATAAGGGAGGCCAATGACAAAATGTGAGTCTTGTAGGAAATGCCAAGTCCCTAGTTAGAAAAATGCCAGGCATTGTGGGAAAAAGCTAAAAAAGTCTTATCACTTCAAGACTTCCGAGATGTCAAGATCACATTTGTATTTCCACCCCTGACTGATGGCATGACAGATGAGTTACAGATCTAAAGCTGACCAAACTTACTAGATAATCTTTTGCTTTTTCCAAAAACTCAGGATTCTGCTCCACCATATCCACTGTGTCAAATAATGGCAACAGCAAGTTTTTTGTCACACGACCTATACCAGCCCCACAGTCTAAATAAATTGAAAAAGAAACCTTTTCACATTACATACTAGACATTCAAATAATGTTCTGCATACATGTGCATGCAACAATGTACAACTTCCAGGGTTCTTACAAACTTTTGGATATGAAATAGACCCTTCCCACATTCCGCTCCAGTGAGCAAACAATGAGGTGGATCGATGTAATTTTACACGAATCACTGCACTTTGTCCACCCAACCCTCAAGTTGGTGCCTTTGCTTACAGGAATGTGGGAAAGGTCTGTTCAATATTTTTCTTAAACTTTTTCAAAGCAAAAAATTCCTTCGTAAGACTTAAGGTTGTTAAATAAGTGATCACGAGAAACCTAGTCAAAAGCAGGAACCAAGTTTTTCCCAACAGCAAATTTAAATGTACAGTAATTATACATATCACTGAGAATATACACTGTAAGGAAGTCCTAAAACTTCTCCTGCAATGGAATCTTTTGGCTACAGATGAGATTAAATAAGATCTGACTAATGATAAAGAAAACTTCACTTCAAAATTAAGTACTTGTTCAAGTCAGGGTTTTCATTAAGAATTCCAGTAGCAGAAGAAAGGTGTTATTTGTTACAGGAGAATATTTTGAAAGAGGGTCCACGTCTGAATTTAAAGTAGTCAGAGGCTACCGAACGTTATCCAGAAAAAAAACGAGAATTCTCTGATCTCAGATGCCTGATGAACACTCTGTCAAGTTTTGAAAAAAAATCCAGAATTTCTCAATTTTCCATTCTTTATTTTCAGTTTCCAGACTCTTTTTAAAACTGGAAAACTGGTTTGCAAATCTTAAGGCTTTTCTTTTCGAAGAATGTAAGACTCTGCTTGAACCCTGAATGTCACTAATGAACTTTAATATAGCTGTATGTCTTGCTCAAATGGAAGGTGGGTGTCTGGGGTATCCAGGGGATTGTACTGTGACCAGCCAGCCCCTAGATACAGAATACCATGGCCCATGGCTGGCAGCGTATGCCTAGCTGCTATTTTACCCAGTGTAACCGATGGTAGGTTTCTGTGGAATCCAGCAGGTTTTATTGTGGCCAGCCACTACAAAGAATCCCATGTCCCATGGCTGGCAGTGCATGCTCGGCTGTGACTTACCCAGTATAACAGATGGTGGATGTCTGGGGTATCTGGGGGATTTCACTGTGGTCATCCAGCCCCTAGATAGAATACCCTATGGCTCACAGTGCATGCCTGAGGGTGACTTAGCCACTGCGCTAGGTGGTGGGTTTTTGGGGAATCCTGGGGATTTCATTATGGCCATCCAGCCCCTAAATAGAATACCATGCCCCACGGATCACAATGCATGCTTGGTTGTGACTTACCCACTACGCTAGATGGTGGGTTTTTGGTGAATCCTGGGGATTTCATTGTGGCCATCCAGCCCCTAGATGGAATATCATGTCCCATGGCTGGCAGTGCATGGCTAGCTGTGACTTACCCAGTGCGACAGATGTTGGGTGCCTAGGGAATCCAGGCAATTTCACTGTGGCCTGCCAGCCCCTACTGGGTAGATAGAATACCACACCCCATGGCTAGCTGCACATGGCTGACTTTGACTCATCAAGTGTGACAGGTGGTGGGTGTCTGGGGAGTTCAGGGGATTTCACTGTGGCTAGCTGGCCCCTAGAAAGAATACCATGCCCCATACAGTGTATGGCTTGTAGTGACTTACCAAGTGCGACAGATGGTTTAATTTTTTCAAAAGTGGAGTTTTTGACAGGTGAGGATGGCTCAACACGTCTGAGTTTTGCAGGCTTCTCTTCCTGTATATCTGGCAGCTACGTAAAAATTAATAACAACAACTTACATTGGTATTGTCACATTTTTTGCTCTACTATTGCAAATCTTACACTCCAATAGGTTGATGTACATGCTTTCAATCATCTCTTACATGTATGTAGATAGTGCACATACCAGAGAAAAACTGCCATTTATAAGTCTTGAAAGCTTATAAAAGGGATGGAAGAGAAAAATGTTTCAAAACAAGCTACAGCAGTGCTGATCAAAATATGTTTTGCTTTTACTAGTTTTTAATAATACCAGTAAGCTTCAAAACTTCATAATTAATCAAATCAGAAGCATATAACCCTAAAGCATATAACGCTGATCCAAGGCTGGGGTTTCTCAAAAGACCAATCAAAATTTACTTCCTAATATGGAAATTTATCACTGATATGCGAGACTGTCATCTAGTCTTATGAAAACTGTGTATCATGATGTAAACAAAGAGCCACAAAGAGAAATTATTACAGTTTTACCAAGTAAAATTAGACCAAACTAGGAAATCACAATTGGCAGGGGTTGACTTATTTTGGACAAAATAAAGTCAACTAATCATGATAAACATCTTATGGGTCCGTCTTAACTTGGTGACGAAAGCCAATAGTGCGTGCTCAAAAGAGTATGCGTCAACATCACATGACCTTTTTTTTTTAACCTGGTTCCAAAGTTTGCTATCTTAATGCTAAGAGCATTGCACAAAGTCTGTTCAGAGAAACATATAGCATGTTTTGCAATGAACACTGGGAAGGAAAACTACTACTTCTTTTTACGGAAAGTATCCACAAGGAAAATTATTCGTACATGCAACAGTGCAGCTTAGCACGCACAAATGACAACACTAGCGTTGGCCCCACTACCTGTAAATATAAATGTTTTTTATCTGTTGATTATGTTATTTAACAATTTAAACGGCTTAGTGCACTTTTGAGTTGTGGATGTACTTGTAGAACTGTTTATAATGACTTAAAGAATTCGTCATTAGCAACTTTTTGGATGGGGAGATCTTCAGTTCTATGATTCCATGTTTGGGTAAAAAAATTCAGTCCTTCTGACTGGACAGCTAAAAAACCCCAGCATTGTTCTAAACAGATAAGGAGAAGTTAGATGCTTTGAAATTTTACCCTTCTAATCGAGTTCATTTCAAATATACAAGCTAGAGGGGGTTTATAATCCAATGTGTTTTTTTGTTTACAGGTAGTTGGGCCTGATGAGCTTATAAGTGGCAGAGAATGATAACTAGCAGTGTTTAATCAAAACAATAATATTACATGTACAACCAGGCTCAATTTTAAAATGAATTAACTCACACCTATGCCTGTTCTAAGTATCTGCCAGAAGAAATCCCAGTTCACCTTCGATTACAACTTGCATAATACTCATGGCATGGATACTTTATACATAATAGTATAGGTACCTCTAAAAAGGGCTTTAAGAACTTCTTTGAATCCCTGATGTCTGTCGGTGAAATACGAGCATATCCACCTAGCATTCCATCAACTGTGGCTGGAACTTTCTGATACATATGAGATATAATTTGAATAATATTTCTACAGAACTAGATTACAGCTTTGTAAATAAGGTAACACTGTTGGAAGTGAATATGATTTCAGGCTAACAAGTTTTCAAAACCACAATAGACCTTGTCACGGTTTTTGACGCCACCTTGACTAGTAGCCAAACGCGTGAGAAATTACTGGTACAGTGTTTGTATGAGAATCTAATGTCAAATAATTTCCATAGAACAGCTGTTCTGAAAAAAATAGGAATCGTCAACTAAAGCTTCACCCCTAAGGATTCTACTGAAAAAAATTAAGGGCGTTAAATGTGGTAGAAGACCTAGAACCACTTTTTTAAATTTTCTACACATTTGTCTGTAAGAAAGTCCTGGGAAAAATTACAGACAAATATATGGAAAATCTAAAGCAAGCCGTTTACAAGTCATATTTTTTTCAGAACAGCCGTTTTATGGCAATTATTGGACAGTAGATTCTCATACAAACACTGTAATTTCTCTGACATTTGCCTACTTGTCCAAATGGCATCAAAAACCGTGACAAGGTCTATTGTAAATCCGTTTCAATCTCCTTCAAGTTTGACCATACGAACGTCCTTCTGAATTTAAGCTTACTGTATTTATACCTTTCTTTTTTTATCATTTTGGGCAGTTCAGCTTACTTTTATTTGATTTTTCAACCAATTTGGTGGCAATTACCATTTGACAAATTTCGTGACACAGCTCCTTCAACATGAGGAGGTAAAATGCCACGATAACACACGCTGATCCCTCGATTTCTACACAAAAGATGGAAGCCAGTAAGCTTAGATATAAAGCATGATATAAAAATTGATGCTCTGTAAAAGGAATCTGACAAAAAGAGGCTCATTTCTTACTTTCCAGTAATCGGCAGCATCTCCATACCACTTCCCTCTGTCTCGCATGTAATCAGGAACATCTGTATCGGAAGAAGCCATTCTGAAAATCAAAAGTTAAGCTATTAATAAGCTTGAAGCTTAAACTACATGTTCTTTTTCTCCGTAACATGTACGTACGTAAGCGCACAGATCAGTTTCATTCATAGCTTGCGGGGGCGGGGGTTCTCTGATGAAATCTTCAAAAGAGTCCGGGCAATAGTCAGCAATAGTGATCAAAAAAGTTACCTTTGCCTCTGAATCAAGAAGATAGCTGTAGATATGTAGGTAGGGTTTGCTATAGTTTACACCAGCTTTGAGTAGAAGTCCGCCATCTTGATTGTTTGCGCGGGAAAACAGATAGGACTGGAAATGAGTTTATTTTGGGAATAATACGTCAAGTATGCAACTTGTAATGTCCTTCACTTATGCTTAGCCGGGAGGCGTTTGAAAGGAAAAAGGAACGGGAGCCTGAACTGTGCAAAAATTGCGGTTATTTTGTCTATCTTGACCAAATTTGACTCATCAATCCTTAGCTTTTTCCTGAAAAAGAGAGTCATCTGTTCGTCTTAGTCAGTCCGTTGTGTAAAAATTTCAAAACTAAAGACATAAAGGAAAAAATGACAGCAAATTTTAGTAATAATAATTTTAAATATATAAAAGCTTCTGCTCACAATATCTCTTGCTTGGTTAGTTATCATTTACCGGAACTACATCGTATCCCCCAGAATGCAACGTTACCGGAAATAGAAACCTCTTTGCGCAAGCGTATCACGAATTTGAAAGGGAAAATTCTGTAATGGCGGACAAAGAATGTTTCATCAATAATCGCAGTCGGAAACTTTAGGGTAGATAGTCGAAAGTGGGAAAGAAAGCAAACAAAAAGAACTGTTGCAAAAAGAACTATAGCACTGGAAGGATTTGAGTTGAGGGTTTCGGAAGATGTCCATTATGGAAGGAACTTTATGGAAATGGACGAACTACTTAAGCGGTTTGTATGACTTTTAACAAGCGCTCATTCATTCGTTTGTTATTGTTTTGAAACTACCGTTGTATCGCGCAACCTCGAGATAATGAAATAAGGAACTGATTTTCCTCCTCGAAGGGGGAATTTTTTTTCTGTTTACGGCTCGACAAGGAGTGTTTTCGTTACAATTTTGGGGGAAGTTAGTATTGTTACTACGTTACGTTTAAATCCACTTCACACGTTTCAGCGCAGTTTTTCTTTTAAAGTGTCATTATTTCTTGTTTCCTTCTCTCCAATGTTAGAGAGGTTTATAGTAGACTTACTTCGTCAAACAAGGGTCTCACCAAAAACTGCAGACAACCCAGCTGATTTTAATTTATATTTCGTAGGATTTCCCGCGGTTTTGATTCTCGATCTTAAGACCCCGGGTCATAACTTATTTATAATCGCTTGGTTAGAAATCAAACAAAGAGATCAATTATTCATTAATTACTTTGGAAAACCACCCACTACAAGCTTATTTAGAGGAAGATCATGGACTTGCAGAAGTTGTTGTTTAATGTCACTTAATTTTGAATTGATTTATTACAAACCTAAGCGTAAAATAATGTTATAATTTGGCTCGCTGCAACAAAATGAATGTCTCATGACACGTAGATAACGAATTAATTATTTTGTGGAAATCATTTACATAAACTTCATTTTGAAGGTCGTACAAAAGGATTGATTTTGATAATTGAATTATTGTATTTGATGTGATGGCTGCCAAAATGAAAAAGTCACTGAATTCTGACGTGGACTGCCAGATTCGATTTGTATGTAGTTGATTGCTTTTAGTCTTTAGCAGATTAGTAAGGTAAGAGCAGTGACTTGTGTGTTTCTTTTTTTTGTTATTCCAAAGAAGAAAAAATTGTTGCTGTAAACTTTCCATATGAACTTTTAGTGGGTCAATTTGTTTTTCAAATCAAGATGTGTAATTACAGCATTACAAAATGAGACAAAGTAACTTACAACAAGTCCCCTCAGGGATCTTGTGACATGTAGATGTTTTGTTGGTTAAAAAGTGCTTTTTGAGTGGAAAAATTAATTTTAACTTTGGTAGGGCTAGCGTGTAGTAGTTTTATTAGTTTTATGGTGAAAAATATTTAAGATTTAAACACTTCAGTTTGTTGGCTTAGTGAAATGAGTGTACAGAAGTGCATGATTTCTATAAACTTCCCTAGTGAGTCAATTTGTTTTTCAAGTCCGGATGTGTAATATTACATTGTAACGAATGAGATGAAATAATCTACTCAAACATGATTTATGAACGTTGGTAGGGCTGGCATGTAATAGTTTAGTTTTTTGTATAAAATAATAAGTGTCCAATGGTTTTTTTTGGGGAACAAGTTAAAAGATATGGACAAATATGCAGAATTTCCTGGAGACTCTTGCGGACAAGGTGCTGCTTTTTTTTCATGTCTGTAGAGAATTAAACCATCTAAATTTCTTGGATGAAGATAAAAACCTCAGGCGCTGCCTCATATTACTTTCACTTTAAAGTGACTATAACATATTTTTTTATTATTAATGAAACAGGGCTTCTGATATTTCACGCGGTCGCGGAGCCGCAAAATTCAGGTAAATTGGCGAAATCCCACGAAATTCACAAAAACACGAAAAATACCTCGAAATTCGGTAGAAATCTTATCAAATACATGTCTGTACAACATATTAGAAACTTATTTCAGCTATTGGATCTATTTACTTGCTGTAAACTTGCAAATTTATCTTAGAACTTTGTCACTGAAATGTGCAAACAACATCCGGAAACTATCAGGCGTAGATTATGTTGCGAAAAACTGGTCACTAGCCATGATGTTAAAGGCTTTGCCATAGGTTCATTTCTGGAGTGTATTGTTGTTGAAAGAGTAAATGATGACCTTCGTTAGAAAAACGTTAAAAACGTTGGTCTGATCAGCACAAAGCTGATTGATTCCTAGAGAAATTTGCCTTGGAAATAACCACAAAATTGGCTTACCGATTTCTTTTTGGTAAAGTTTGCCCCGAAAACTCCCGTGAAATTACCGCAAAATTGGCCGATTTTTCCGTGAATTTGTCCCTAAAAACCCCCCGAATTTGACTTTTCTTCTGCAACCTGTCAGAAGCCCTGATGAAATTTTGATTATCACTGCAAGAATCATTATTTTAGGCAGCTCAGAATCTTTTCATGTTATGTTTGACTCCCCATTCTCCAAATTTGAGTTTTGGTTGGCTAGTAATATGCAGGCAGAGGTGTTAGTATTAAGATCACTTCTTTATAATTGTCCTTCAGGACTAGTATTAGTTGCCTGCAGGTAAACAGAGTAAGTGAGTATACAGTATTTGTTAGATTATAAACTGAACTCAACCATAAGACTAAGACTACCCCTGCAGTCATACAAACACTGACTTAACTGACTGATGAGCTAGTCCTTCCGTGGTTGATATTTGGACTTAATATTGTTTAGGCTGGCAACCAAGATGGTTTGTTCTAGATGTTGGTGTGCTGGCATATTACAAGTCACAAGAAGAGGTGGGTCTTGGCAGTCGAGGCTCTGTTAAAATGGCATGCTGTGAAATCTCAGGTTAGTGCTTTTTCTTGATTCTTTTTTTCTTAAAAGAACGGTCATTCCAAATAGGGATATTCAATTCAATAGTAGTGCTTGAAATACTCCTGCAATTGCTATTCCTTCATCTACATGTAATTATGTACACTGCGATGTGTCCTTTAAGCCCCAATATTCCTATTTTCTCCATCAATTTTCTCCCAACAATATCTGTACATTTTCTTGTAACACTTATCAGTACATAACCAAGAGAAAAAGTTTTGACATTAATAAAATTACCACCAAAGGGAAAATGCTTTGACGATCTTTTATCAAATTTTCTTGACCAATTCTGTAAGGAAAATGTATAGAGTTCAGTCTGGAGAATTTGTATATTGATATAAGGGCTTTAAGAGAGAGTTAACCAACATAATACATGACAATGACACTGTTGTTGTATAGTTCATCACTCAGATGCAGTAAGGATTGACTTAAAGATCCCCCCTGACCAGTATATTTACTTGAGGGCAGCCACACCTGCTGAACGGCAGCAATGGCTTGTTGCTCTAGGAACAGCAAAAGCTTGCCTTACGACAATGAAGCAAAACGGCCACTCAGAAACCCCTGGAGAATGTAAGTGGTAAATGTTAGACGGTTCTTTTACCGACACTATCTAAAGTGTTCGAGCGCTTGGCGCTCAACCAGCTCATTGTTTACATCAGTGAGGAAGCGCTTCTCGATTCAAGATTCCGAAAAGGTCATTCAACAACTACTGTTTTACTGGGGATACGCCATGCTCTAATACGGGCATCAAGCAGAGGGGAGGTAACACTGATGGTCTGCTCAGACTATAGCAAGGCTTTTGATACCGTCCAATGTAGGTCAGTGGTCTCTAAGATGCACAGCTTAGGGTTCTTAAAATACTTCTTACCAAAGATGATTGACTATCTAACTCAAAGGAGACAGCTGGTGCAAATTGATGACAGGAAGTCAGAGATGGCAATGGTGGAATTCGGTGTTCCTCAGGGCTCAATTCTGGGTCCAGTTATTTTCAACCGTGTACCATGCACCATTTAACAGAAGACAGCAGATTAAAATATGAAAACTGCACTGTTTTCCTTTAGCTGATGCCAGCACTTTTCAAACTCTTTTTCTTAGAGCTTGTTAAAAAAAACCATTATATTTATTAATTCTTTGTATAAATATTTAAAAAGGAATGGGTGATTGCTGGCAAAGGGGACTTTTGTATACAACTCACGGTGAAAAAAAACCCCTGTTTGTAGGGTAAAATCAGCACTGACAATGTTTTGAACCCAGGGGAGGTACTTGGGATTGCAAGTGACGGGGATGATCGAATGGAGCCAAAAGTCAAGACCCAAAAAAATCCCTCGGGCTTCCAGCAAAACCCCAAAAAATCCCTGGACCAAAAATGCAGACTATTGTATAACATGTGCGATGTAAAGCGACACCATAGTTAACTATTAAACAACAGCAAAACACGTTTGTTTGTACTTTATTTGCAGAACTATGCAGCCAGGGCACTACCGATTCTTTTTAATACCCCCAAAAAATCCCTACTCAAATCAAGCTACCCCAAAAATACTTGCCAAATTTTCGTACCCCAAAAAATCCCGGAATCGAAAATTTCAAACCCAAAAATCATCCCCGTCACTTGAAATCCCGAGTACCCCCCCTGGGGTTTTGAATGTACGATTTACATCATGTCAGAATTGTGAAGTGTGTTTTCGTGATGATTTTGTTTGGACTCATCTTTTATTGAACAGCTATAAATCAATTAAAAGAAAAGATGCAAGAACTTAACATGTACCGTAGCCTGCTGCTGCAGCAGATTGGAACTATAAAGATGCTATGTTCTAATAAAGAGGAGAGTCAGGTAATCTTCTTTAGGCTTCTAATTGCTGATAAATGTGTGTATTCTCTATAAGCACTCCACACCTTTCCTTCAAATGCTATCACTATGGAGAATGTGTGTAAAAATAAATTTGAGATATCATATACCATGGCTCGTACAATATTGAAAAGGTCTTAAATTTTAGTAGTCATCTTGAAAAGTCCTTGAAAAGTACTTGATTTCTTTATCAGGTCTTAAAAAGCCCCAGAAATTCACTACCTTAGCTATGCGCAACATAATTTTCCCGAAAATTAGATTTTTTGCTGAGGAAAAGTTGGCTCATCCACAGTGTAAGAACCTCCAAAACTCATGGGTAACGTAAAAAACATTTTTTTTGTATAAACAATATTTTATTTCTGTTTCTTTATTTTGAATACTATTTCTGTACATCAGATCATAGTTATTAGAGGAGACTGGTTATGAAAAGCGGCAAACATCAATGAGAAAAACAACAGTGCTGCAGTTTATGTTCAAAGCACCGTGAAAGTGCACAATCCTCTGTTTTCTCTTGGCAAATTGTTACGGAATAAATTAATGCAACGTTTTTATTAGTCAATACAATCAAAATGATAGGAATTCTTTTGAACATTGTGCACTTTCAGGTCCACAAAAACATATAGCAAAGGCGTCTGACAGGTTTCATAACCATTCCACTCAATTAACTATGATCAGGTGCAATAAATTGCAAGTCATTTTGTAAAGTGTAATTGTTGCGGAAATTATAAACTAAACATGATCAACCATGGCTGAAGAAGTAAATATGGTAAATGACTCCATGACATGTTTTAGCCATGCATGAGGTGTTCAAAAGGGGGTGAAAGAATGCCGATTTATTGAACATTGAAATACAGAAAATAGTTTCAGCCAACTGTAGTTTGATTCTCACAGACAGTTTCTGTTTGTTACTTGGTAAAATTAGGTTTAGGAGACAAAGGAACTTGAGAATCAGCTAGGCTGAAGCCATTTTTTACCTAAAGAGCTAAGCTGTAAAACTCATGACTTTCATTTCACCCTGATTTCATGTCAGTTCTTTATCTCACCATCATTTGTAACACCTAAGACCAAAGAAATATAAAATGTGAACCATGGATAAATTTGAATCATTGAACCAAAAAAAGCTTTTTTTTCCTCAGGAATTTGGTGAAGCTGGTACAATGCTGTCTGCAACTTGTGACGAGTTTCTTAAAAATCTTTGTGATTGTGTGGAACTGGCTGAAGGAAACTTTGGTGAGTACAGTAAATTACCTTAAACTGCTACTTATAATCCCTGGACTATAATATTATACCACTTCGTAAGGCCGAGGGGCTTATATCCAAGAGAGCTTATAACCAGAATAGAAAAGTGTTTTCATCAAAATGAGGTATAGCAGCACTTTTTTGCTTATCAAATACATTTTGCATTTACTGGATGGTTTTTAATAATATTGTAAGTTTTAATCAATAAAATTTACAGGATTTTTACTAGGCCTTTTATAGTCGACCTGCTATCTGAGGGTAAGCCAATGATAAATACTGTACTACTGAACAGAATGTGCACTTGAAGTGCTCCACGAGATATTGCATGAGGAAAATTATTTTTACTAGCCATACAAAAAGCGCGATACATTAGAAACTATAATTTCGCAACTGTGTAAGTAAATTTACGTGCCACCCACCAATTTTACCTACTACTAGTAAAACTCTACCAGATGGCATAACGCTATGTTACATGTTGTTGGTTGAGAGCATCATGCTCCATTAACCGCGTTTTACAATTGAGTTGTAAAACTTTCTTAATATTATCATAAGTGTCAATAAAATTTACATGCTTTTTAAAACAATCAACCAATGCAACTCATTTAAAACTGGCATGATGTGGGCATATTTTCTGGTCAAACAATCAAGTCTTGCAGCAGCACAAAGTCATCATAGTTACATTCTGCTTGCTGAGGAATGTTTCTTTTTTTTTCTGCTGATAGGGAGTTCGTCATCTTCGCCTTCCTCACCAACCACTTCAATGAGTAAGGTAATGCAGAAGAGTGTTTATTCATGACTGTCACATGTTAAGATTTATGCATTCAGTAATATTAGACTAAAGGTGGATTTCCACTGTCGTGCAATTTTTATGTGGGTGGGTACATGCGTAAATAAAATAGAGGCAATATATGGAGGGTAACATGTAAACGTAGAAGTTGAACCTCACTCAACTGTTACATTTACGCACTGCCTTTCTTACATTGCCCAGTCTATTAATTTTTATTTACGCAGGTATCCACCTGAGGACCTTAAAATGACCCTTGAAATGTTTTTTGTTCTTCTCTTTAATGTCTTAAAGTATTTTGCTTTACACTGGAAGGGAGTGTTTATATCTAAATCATGCTCTGTTTGTAGACTTTATCATCATCAAAGCACAGTGCATTCCGAAAACAATTGCTTCATGAAACACACAGGTCAGTACATGTTGCTGCCATCATTAACATATTAGTTAATATGATTATTATAAAACCAAGACGATGGTGAATAATCTTTTTTTGGCCTGTTTGAAGGATGAAATTTCAAATTGCGTGTTAGTTTTGCTGACAATTTTTTAAGCATAAATGATTTTGATAATGAAAAGGATTGTACTACTGGTATCACCTCACCATCAACTATCGCCACCAAGAAAGATGTATCTTAATACTTATTGAAAGGACAAGTCTCTAAAAAGAATTCTGTCACTTTAAATTTACATTGGAATTTAAGGAGGTAAGGTTCAAGTGACAATATTAACCAACTTTCATAAGAAAGAACAAATATCACCTCTCGAGCTATGCAAATGAGCCGTTTTAAGGCGTTTTAAAAAAAGTCGCAATTCACAAAAAATAATACTAAAGATGAGAAGTTCGACGCAAGGTGTGAATTACAATCGATTAACTTATATTTGGGCTTGAGGAAGAAGTAACAATCCCAGGTAAGTAAACAGTGTCAATTATTGTAGAGGTGGCGAGTAGACTTCCTTGATGGCGATTTCATTGGTGGCGAGATGGTTCGGTGGCGAGGTGACCGTAAACCGTACTTCCTATTCCCTCTTGCCCTTCCTTCCCTTACCATCAGAATTTCTGACAACTGTACTTTAAGACCGCAACCACACACCGAAATATTGGTGAACTAAGATATTTCTAGCACGAATTTCTATATTTGAACAAGATATCGCGATATTACAATACAATAAAATATGCTAAACCAGCGGGTCTCTTAACATTAATCCTAGCTTTTTACAATAGTGTAAAAATCAGGTAGTGAAAATCTGCTTTCAAAATGGTTTTAAAAATTTCATGTTCACTGCTCAAAAAATTCCTTTGAACAACTTGTCAGTTGTCGAGAGTTTTTCACATCTTATCATTTTCACATTTAATCTAGATCATCCTCACCTCCTCCATCACCCACTTCAAGTGTGGCAAGTACGTTAAGCTCTTCTTACAATGGTGAGTGATTCTCTTTTCAATTTGCACTGTAGTTTGTCTTGAGACTAACCCCTCGTGACATGGGTAATGAGTTTTGTTAAACTTCAAATCAATTTCAATTTGAATTTTATTTGAATAAATATTTGTAAATACCTTAAAATTCCGAAAATAAGCCCCGGGGCTTATATTTTTCAAAGGCCCTTTTTAAGGGGCTTATTTTTGGAGGGGCTTATCTAAGGAGGGAAATTTGCGTTTCAAAATCGATTGGGCTAGCCTTATAGTTGAAGGTTAATTTACCGTTTTTGCTTTGTTTTACTTTGTATCTGTGGGTAATTTTGCAAGTACAAACCCCCGGGGGCTTATATTTGGAGGGGCGATTTAGCGGAGGGTTTTTTTTGCGTTACCGTTTTGGGGGGGCTTATATTTGGAGGGGCTTATACATGGAGGGGCATATTTTCGGAATTTTACGGTATACAACACAAAGAGACTGGCCTGCAAGTAGCATTTGCTAATCTGAGCTGAACAGTCACACTGACCAAAACATTACAATGAGAATAATTTTAAAATATTTACGAAAATAACAAAAGGAGACTTGGGGTGTGTTCCTTTGAGATGATCCGGATCAGGATCACTGATCCGAGATCACTCGGATCATGGTAGATCAAATGAACCAATGAATCCACTCTGAACAAGGATTCATCGGTTCATTTGATCTAGCATGATCCGAGTGATCTCGGATCAGTGATTCTGATCCGGATCATCTCAAAGGAACGCACCCTTGATTACTTACAGAAGTTTTGGTAGTTTACATAAGTGAATGTAATTGTATACTCTTGATCTTTCTTCGATTGTTTCGTGTCTCCCATCATTTAAAGAAAACATACAGTGGATAAACTTGTTAACTTACGCTCGGAGTTAACAAATTATAAACAATTATTGGATGAGGTTTTTGTGATACCCAGAATAATTAAGGTCGAGGTAGGGGTTATCAGCCGAAGCCGAAGGCTGAGGCTAATAACCCTTACCGAAACCTTGATTATTCTCGATGTCACAAAAACCGAATCTAATAATTGTGTTATTATACATTGAACGAATCCTTTCTTTCCCGCTTCGCCATAAAATGTTTTCAAAGTTTGTGCCAACTCTTTCTTTTCCTCAGGTTCTCTCAGTTTTTTCTCTTTCACATAATCATCAAACAGCTCCTTTGCCACCTTCGTCGACCTTTTTGTGTTTATGAGTCCTTGTCTTCAACTATTTTTTCGATGTCTTGCTTGGTCAACGAAGCAAACCTGACCCCAACTGTTCAAAAGGTGGATAACGCTATCCAGTGGATAGTCCAATTGGTTTCCCTAATACGTATCCACTGGATAGAAATTTATCCGATGGATAGCGCTATCCAGCTTTTGAACAACTGGGGCCTGGAAGTCATGTTTTTGCTTCTTTGCTGACGGCAAGCAACACAAAGCGCGCGAACTTGACATAATTACCTTTAGAAATTTTGCACCGCGGTCACACATGACATGATTACCCGTGACCTTGAGTGTCCTTGACATGATTATTGTATAATCTGCAGCTAGATGACGTCCCAGACACTGATTTCGAAAATTCACTGTACGCTTTCGGCCAATCAGAAAAGAGATAGTGAGTTGAATGTATAATAATAGGAAGAAAATGCGGAACTGCACGAGGAACGTCCGACCTCCCCGAGCGCTATATGCTCGGGGTATGTTTGTCAATGGCGATAATATAATCTTTTAACCAATCGGACACATTTTGGCGTGGAGTGTTAACAAAAAGGTTTGATACTGAATTACTCAACAGTCGATCCTCTCTGAGATGGAGACCTTTGGGTACCGGCACTATTGTATGTGTACGTCTTTGAGAGATGACATTCTTATAAACAGTCAACTAAAAGTAGTAGCAAAAAGTAGAGACCAATTCTAAGTGTCCATTAAGAGAGAGTTGATTGTACAACAAATGTGGTTATACGTTCAATCTATTGCAGGGCCACCAAGCCTGGCAACTATGAGTGACCAATCAGGAAGCAGCGAGAGACCACCATCTTCAACTGTCAAGCACCTTTCGACCCAGACCCCCTCTCAACACGTTGGAAATCGTTCATCTACGAACTCCTCCGACCATACTGACCGCAGGCACGGACAAGCCAGTAGAGCAGGAAGTAATTCTTCTCTCAATCACAAGGCAATTCACATTGAATCCTCAAGAAATTCCCTGGATTCCCAGTCTTCCAATTCGAATTCCGAAGACATGAAGGATGAACCGCTGACGTTCTTCACTGCAGCAAAATTTCGGTAAGTCTCTGACTGATCGTTTAACTGTAAGTATTCGTACGCGGCCGTATAGGTTCATTTTTTTAACACCTTATGTTGTATTGTAATCATTTACGCAAACGGTCGTGTTGAAAATTGAATGGCAAAAAGTGTATCGATATTTTGGATCTTTCGTCTATTTTGTGAAAAGGACCAGCTACAAAGGGCAGATTTTCAATTGTTTCCCAATGTACCGGCTTTGCTCGAGGCTTTTTCTGAGGGCGAATTTCCAGTGCCGAAGGAGCGAGCCGCTAGGGGATCTGGGGGCATGAACCTCCTCGCCCGCTGAAGAAAAAAAAAAGAGAAATGAATATCTAAGAGATAGAACCTGCATAACAGGCGTTATTTTTCTTCGATCGCCTGAAAAATGCGAACAAATAACGCCTGTCTTTATGTAGGCTAAGAGATGCTGTGTCGTATGGACCCAATTAAAAGTGGGTGCTGGATTAATATTCTTTTATCTAATATTAGCCTGACTAACCTTGAAATAAGCTATTCTTTTGAACTCTATAGTTAAGAACGAGGCTAGTCAGGCTAATTTTAATTAGCACAAAAGATAATTTATCCAGCAGCCATGTTTGGGTCCATGACATCTAAGTACCGCACATGACATGGTATAGAACCGGACGAAACGCCTTCCTCCGGTCTCGAACGGAAGCCCACTAACTTGAGCCAAATCAACTGAAGAGGACTAGCAAGGATAGGACTAAAAAATATATCGCCTCAGCTGAGAGTCTATATTTTCTAAACACTTTTTGATTCGGAATTCCCAGTTTTCCCTCGTATTGATGGAAGTTAATCCTAAAGCCTGAACTGCATTTTTTAGGTTTGAAAGGATGCAGATCGGAGTGGATAACGGCATCCCCACGAAACCATTCCTTTCGTCGTGTTCGTGTATTCTTCCATTTCTGGGTGAGTAGATACTCAAGTCTATTAGCCTATGAGCTACAAGTAAGCGAATCGTGGGCTAAAAGAACGAACAAGTGCCGTGCGTTTGACGGTAGCTACCCACTTACTTTGTAACTTTGTAACCTTCCAGAAGTTGAATTCCAAGGAACCATATCGAAGTTCAGAAAGAGAAATAGTTTCGTCGTTGCTTGCTTGCGTTCTCAATAAAACGCGAAATTAGGCATTTTCACGTCGCAGTCGTGCAAAAACCGCAAAGAAATGTACAAAAAGTGTGATGCACGTGCGGAGTTGTTGTTTTGCTTATTAAACCTTGTGTTTCTCGATAACGTCGCGTCATTGGATCTTAAAGTCCCTATTGATGTGGTTGACGTCAACTGTCAAAATTGACCATTCACAGAGTATACCAGGAGCTGAATGACCGGACGGGAATGAGGTACCGAAAACAATTCTTACAGGATTCACCTGCCCGTCTCTCCCCAGCTCCCTCGCGGTGCTCGCGCACCTTTTCTCGATGTGCGTTCCCTACTATCTCGGAGCCTGGAACAGGCCGTACTTGATTTTACAAAACGTCCTATGTGATAGGATCTACAATACTCGTCACAAATCTTGAAACACTTGTGTGATTTTCCCCTTCCCCAATGTTGATTTGGGTATTACAGTCGTCTCAGTACTCCAAAATACGCGTGGCTCAGCATTGGGAAAGGAGTGGGGCACATTTGAGGGAGAACGAGGGTGTCAGGAGTGAATGTAAGAAAGACAAATGGCTCCTGTTTCAACGATTTGTGACGAGTATTGTAGGCTTTCGGTTGGTCCGAGTTAATCGCCCCTCTCGTTATCGAAATCACTTTCCATATGATAAGGCCAAAGTTAGTTAACTTATCGATAAGCAATAATGAAAATGAAGGGTAGGTGCCAATTGTGAGCAATGCGAGCAATAAGCAAATGAATGTGGGCAAAATACAAATAAAGGGGGGATACCATGGCATTCTCCAACGGGTCACCTCCCTGGCACCTATCACACCGATTCTCAGTGGAGAATAAAGAACACAAAAGAACTTACACTAAACCTGAACAAAGGAGTTTCGAAGAACGAAGAGGCGAGTGGGAGGGGACGAACAAAGGGAAAAAGCTGCAAGGTAACTCCAAGCAAGCCACAAGGGCAAAACTACGTGGCAATGGCTTGAATGCGCATGCGAAATGCGATCACCTGCTGACAAAAGGAAATCTCCCAGTTAAATATGATTATTGATAATCTCATTATAACGACTGATAACCGAGATCTAGTGAACTAAAAAGAAAGCTAGAAATGCTTTACCCGAGGTTTAGAATTTAATCATCCCTCACCATGTGGGGCAAGCAGATGATGGTCCAATGAATCCATGCAAGTCTCAGTGAGGTTACTCTATACTTTACTTTAGATCGAGGTCATTCGAGGTTTTGTTTCAATTTGTCAGATGTAGTTCCTTCTGGTGATTGTCTTGTTGAAAATGTGCAAGCATAATTTCGAGCATCTTCAATAGTAAGTTATAGGGAAAGAGAGTTGTTCTTGTGGATTTATTTTATCTTTCGTCTTTTTGTTCTCAGACATTCTTGGATCAACAGCTTTCGCCCCTGTGAAACTAGACATCAGTGGGAATATTAAAGTAAGACATGTTTTTGTTTTGGCTAAATCTTTCTACTTTTATTACCATAATAAATCATAAATTCTCTATCAGTAGCATTGTACAGTTTCAACGCCAATACACATTTCAAATAATCCTCTAGTTAACGATGTGTCAAGTTGTCTGCATACTTTACTGAATTTTTTTACCGTTTTGTTGTAGAAACTCGAAGCTAAACATGAAACCGATCCCAAAGCGTTTGTTACGCTGCAAAATATCGTTTATCAAGAACTCAAAAGCAACACATGTACAGCGAAAAACTCCGCAACAGACGCATTGTTGTGGCTTAAAAGGTAACGGACCGAAATTCACACAGTTAATCTTCTATAGTACTGATACCATTTAAGTATGGACAGTCTTATTGGTCCCATAAGGTAAATTTCTACTGACGGGTAAATAATGTAGAGGCAATGTATGGGTGGATTTCCACAGTCGCGTAATTTTTACGTGAGTACGCACGTAAATTTTACGCGCGTGAATAAAATAGAGGCAATGAATGTATCGAAGGTCTCGCGTAAACATAAAAGTTGGACCTCGCTCAACTTGCGTTTACGTACGTCCTTTCATATACATTGCCTCTATTTTATTTACGCGCGTAAAATTTAGGTGCTTAGTAATGGTAACAGGACTGAGTAGAGTCCAATTCGGTCTGTAATCATACGAGTGATTAACAAAATCGGACGACCGCGTAGCGGGAGTCCGATTTGTTTAATCACGAGTATGATTACAGACCGAATTGGACGACACGAAGCTCTGTTACCAATTAATCGTAGCTTTAACAAAATTTGTGATCTAATAGGCTATTTTTTAAATCAAAACACAAGAAATTCGAAATTTTGTTTTGCTAGCAGTGAAAAAAAAAAAGCCATTTAAGCGCGCGCGTGATGGCGCGTACTGTCCAATTACTTAGGCATGACGCGTACTGTCCTATTAACTGTCCAATTAAGGCTGAAATCAGGGCAGTTGATAGCCAATCAGATTTGACAATTTTGTTATAGTTATGATTACTCTAGTAAAAATTACGCGACAGTGGAAATCCGCCTTATGGAAGGTCGCGCGTAAGCAGAAGAAGTTAATGGAGGTTCAACTTCTAGGTTTAGTTCATTTACACGCCTACCCACGTAGAAATTACGCTACAATCTTCGCCTCGCAATAAAGGGCACCTCTGCCTCTGGAATGCGGATGCTTTGCTCTATGTTTTGTTATCATCATTAACCCAGAAATTTTCAACGACGATTTTTAGCGTAACCTTAACAGTCTCTTGGAACAACATTATAACAAATGTTGCAACAATATGGCAACGCTGTATTGCTCTGAAAAAAGTCGTTGCAAAGGGCGTTTTTAACCTATGCATCTCGCCATCTTCCGTTTGTTGTATTTCCAGAGCTTTGGAGTTCATGCAGGTGTTTCTCGCCGAGGTAGCTCGAGGAGAAAAAGACCTCGCCGTAGCAGCAGGTAGGTTATCAACGATCTTTAGATTTTACAAGGAGTATACATTTGGAATTTTGAACCAGTTAATATGTTCTCAAACTTTCAGTCTTTCTTATTTTGTTCTTTTGCTGAAAAACTTGTACTTGCACGTATCTAATCTCCTATTGGTTATCCAATCTTAAGGCGACTTTTAATTTCAGTATTAAAAAGTAATAGAATGGTAGAACCCCGATAACTCGAACTCGGATAACGCGAACTCCCCGCTAACTCGAACTGTAAGTCCGACTGACCCATTTCCCTTGGATTTCACTCTACTTTTAAGTCAGTTTTACTCGGCTTGCTCGAGCTCGGATAACTCGAATTTACCACTACCTCGAACTAAATTCCCTTTCCCTTAATAAAAAATTCACTTAAATTTACCCCGATAACTCGAATTCTTGCTCTTCTTACACAACTCGGATGCCATCCCATTAGCTCTTCTTCTCGTATAACGGTAAAGACACTAAAACTAACACTCGTCAGCACTACAGTAAACTGACTGCAATTGGTGCAACGAACGGATCACGCTTCATCATAAAAAATTCCTAATCAGTGTTACCGTTTCTTATGAAATATTAAGTTAAATTTTCACTGCACTATACTGTCTATTCACTGAAATGCTGAAAAATCAGTAACTTTCAACTTTGAATGGCGAGTTGAATTTTTCAATCGACCCCGATAACTCGAACCCTCGCTAACTCGAACTGTTTTTCGTTTCCCTTCAGAGTTCGAGTTACCGCGGTTCTACTGTACTTGAAGTGTGTGTATGTCTTCATTATCGTTAATTCTCTCTATGGTCTCTGTGTTTGTTTCATATTGTAGGCACAGCATACGGCAAGACACTACGCAGATATCATGGTTGGGTAGTACGAGGTGTTTTTGCGGTAAGTGTGTTGACAAATATCTAAGCTCACATCGACCTTGTTAACTTAAGTAAAAACCGTTGTTGGGTAAGAATTATGTTTAGAAGATGTTAAGACACATATGTTGTTGGGTAAGAATTATGTTTACAGTTTATCACCTCTAGGTTTAGGTACTGACCTTTCGTGGCGTTCTATTGACTTTTACATGCCTGGTAGGAGGCAACAATGCTCGTGGAAAATCAATCAATCAATCAATGTGGGTTTTAGACACAATATACACTGTAGCATCTCTTTCCCTGGCTGTTTGTGATGTTTAGATGTGTGTAGCGTTCCAGGGGCACCCAAAATCCTGAAGAGTGGGGGATCGATTTGATAAATTTAATGACCAAGTTTTGCTTGTTTTTCATGGTTTGTTTTAGCTGGCAGTGAAGGCAGTGCCATACCGATCAGATTTCCTTACCTCGCTTGGGAGCACTGAAAAGAGCATAGCTCCTCATAAGGACGTCATACGGGATATGAAGCTTTGTGTGGAAGGACTCAGTCGAGTTACGAACATTTTAAACCAGTTTTACCGGAAACACAAACTCGATTCTGAGGATACCGTGTGACGATGTCAAGACTTAACGCTTGATTGGATTAGGTTTGCTGTTACAACGTCACGCTTTCCTTTGACCCTTGTCATGCGTACTGCTATAAACGTAGTGTCACGTTCATGTGTACATTAACTCATAATGTGAATTTATATTTGAAAAAATATTTTTAATTTAATTTATATGTTATAATGTGATAAATTATGTTTACGTTGCCAGTCGATTCGAGTTAGTTCTTGACTTTCATTTTTTTAACGTGTTGTCCCCTTCATCTAATAGGGAGCTTAAGCATCTACGACGGCAACAAAAACGTTAGACAAAAAGTGAATTCGCGCTGCTTCAAACTTCTTCTCGCCTATTCCATCTCGTTCAATTTGTCAAATGTTGGCGAATTTTTCTGGAGTTGAATTCTAGAAGAATTCGTTCGTTCGTTCGTTTTCTCGTGTTCAGGTTCTTCGTAAACCGTGAAAGTAGAAATTTTCACGTCGTAGTCGTGCAACGGCTGCCAGGAAATGTTCAATAAAGCGTGATTTTGCACGTGCAGAATTGTTGTTTTGCCAATCTAAGGCCCTTTCCACGCTTATGCGTTGTCATCGAAAACGCATCGATCGATTCGCGTCCACACGACCGTTTTGATGGATTTTGGACTGTTCACACTCAAACGTTCGAAAACGATAGAATTGTACGTTTTGGCGTAAGTTGAACCCTATGTGCATGCTACAAACACACGCGCCTGCGATATTTCGATCTTCGTTTTCATTTTGATGCGTTTTCGCCGTCCGCACTAATACGACATGCGTTTTCGTTTTGATCCACTTTCAGGAGCGGTTTCAAATCGATGCGTTTTCGACGAAAACTCTCAGCGTATTTATGTGGACGGAAGGCCTACACGCATCTTAATGTATGCGTTTTCAAACGAAAACGCATTAGTGTGGACGAGGGCCTAACCCTAATGCTTTTTGCCGTTCTCGTTGCCGTTGCTGTAGTCGTTGCTAAAGCTCCTTAATATGAACTCTGCAGCACAGGTCCCAATGACACTTGTAATACCGTATTTATTCGATTAACCGCCCTGTGCGCTTATTAAATTTTTGGACCTTGAGAGTGGGCGCTTATTCGAGGCAGGGCGCTTATTAAATTTTTATTATTTTCAGCAAGTGAAGTATGTTTATTTTGCAACAAAACAATAATGCTAATAACAAAACGCGAAGAAGTAACAAAGCAAGGTTTCTGTAAAATACTCTGAAGAAAACTCCGTCTTCGGGGAAGTCTCTTATTAGAATTTATTCACTCAAGTGAATGGGTTGGGGGTGAGCGCTTATTTGAGTTTGATTGGGAGGAGGTGGGGTGGGCGCTTATTCGAGGCTGGGCGCTTATTAAATTTTTCTGCCTTTAGGATGGGCTCTTATTCGAGGTGGGCGCTAATTCCAGGTTGGGCGCTTATTCGAATAAATACGGTATGAGGTTTTCTCTTACCTTTTTATTGGGGAACGTGCAACAAGCCGAAGTATTTCTCATTGCTATCACTTAGTGTTTCCCCAAACGGAACGACAAAATTTATATTTTATATTGTGACGAGCCTTTGGCGGGCTTGACATAGATTTTAGTAGTACCATAACTTACTGTAAATTAAACTGACTACAGCGCCACGAAAGTGATACATTGTTTTCAGCACAGAACTTCTTTTGTTGATTCATGCAAGGCCTAGTCACACCCTAGTAGCCTTCCATTGCGGACAAATATATCTACCAATTGGTCACTTAAGAAACGACTGAGAAAGAAAGAAGAAAGGGCGGCGGGGGGATTATCCTCTGGGACTGGTACTAGGGACAGGCAAAAAAATTGGCCAATTTGCCATTTGCACATCTTCCATAATAGACTTTGTTTGTCCCCAGAATTTTGCAGATCCATTGTTTTTAATTTCTCCTGGGTATACGCTCTTCTCACTTATGGTAATATGCCCGTCTAACCTCGTTTACGGGTAAAAATTCTTTTGAAATTCAAATACGAAAACGTCGTCTGATTAGCATTTCAAAGGACTTTTTACTCAAAAACGAGTTTAGACGGGCATATTACCATACGTGAGAAGAGCGTATTGCAGTCGCAGATGTATTTAACTAGGCCAAGTTTCATTGTCAGACTAAGGAAGAACAGTGGACGCGAGGGGAAAAGAGCTCTCATCTAGTTGATCGACTGCCCTATAAAGCCTTCCTTTTTTTTTTTCAAGTATCGTCGACAGTGCTGGGAAAAGAGTAAACTTAGTAAGGCTGAAAGTGATACATCTGAAAGGGACGAAGACTTAGCTACGTCAAGTCGCCACCTTTCAGATGTTTGTGAAATCTCGCATTTTGGGGAGCTACACCTTTGTAAGCTTTCTTACTCTCGTGGTAGTTAAACTGATTTTAAAGCGTCGTTTCAAGCGGTGTGGAAATTATTTCTTGTCCGTGTGAAAGGTGAAAAAACCGTGGAAGGGTTTACTTGAATGCGCGGACGTTTCGTGGTAAAGGAAATCTTAAAACAGACTGGAAGTTCTACCCGCTCTATTATATCACTTCTTAGTACACGACAGGAATATTGTAGTAAACATAAGCAAATATAATTATCTAGAAATAAAGTTATTTATGCTCTACAGAGCCAGCTATTCTCCTTTGTACGTTAAGAGATCCTACACGCAAGAATTTCAAAAGCGAGTCGTGAACACTAAGCGGCGACGCCACGTGCTTAAAGAACCTTCGGCTCGTTATCGGCAGAGATCGGGTCAAACTTCGTGCAATGGTCGGTAGGCGCCCTGCTCGAGGTCAAAATCACAGTTGGTTGTCGTCTCACACAGCTGGTATTTGCTACGCTCGGTGGTCACCTGGCAAAATGTACCAAAATGGACACTGAAATTCGAAGTTTTACCTAGAAATGGTGACAGTTCTGTTAGTGAAGAAGACAAACGATGGGAAAGGTGAAGCAGTTTGAAGGCGCGTCGCAACACAACTTTCCACATAGGTCAGACTTCGACTCAAGGGTTTTTCATTTGAAACAAAGTGAGCAAAAAATGTAATCGAACATGGTATTTTCAATTGCTAGATTCTAAATTGGAGGATGTTTTGTTAGATTCTTTAGAAACTTTACAAATTCCCAGTTCCATTCACTTTAGTTGAAGGATATGAATAATTTACCACCAAAAACAAATTTGTGGGCGAAGACTACATTGAAAACCATCCGAGCGTGAAAAAAGAGGAAAGGTCGTAAAAATCAAATTAACGGGTCATGTCATCACAACAACGCCGGTAATTTTAACTATCGATAATGGGCATTTGTTTTGGGATGTGTTAGATAGATGGTGTTATAAGGCGTGAGAATTTGACAGTGCAAAGCAAGTACAGCATGCCAGGAGATCCATTTGCTGATCAAGTACCTGCCGATCGCGATGAAGAGATGGAGGCGTTCGCCATCTCGCCGATGGCTTTGTCGTTCGAGGCTGCTGGGATTATAGGGATGTGCTCGACAATTATCATCGGCAATGGTCTACTCTGTGTACTAAGTTTCCGAAAGCCCAATCAGTCTTATACGGGAAATATCACCCTGTTGTACGTGGCTGTGGCAGACATATTTACCGCTATAATCACCATGCCTTTGATGGTTGCATCGTTGTTGGAACTCAAGTGGAAGTATGGCGATCTGCTTTGCAAAACAACGGGAGTTTTAACAATGTTGTTTTTAAGTTCTAGCTTGCTTATCC